AACTTTCTACTCATCTGTGAATCCTGAAAAATAAAATGCATCACGGTTTCCACAAAAAGGGAACAATGGACACTGTATAGGGACCATGTCAATCGGAACACAGTTCATGCACGGAGCTCACTTCTAACGAGATGATGATCTGAATCAGGTGTGTTAACAAAGAGAGACATGCAAAACATGCAGAGCGGGGGTACGCGAGGACTGGAATTGAGAATCGCTGCTCTAAAGGATGTCAGTGATGACCTATCAAATCTCATCTTATATTAAATACTTAATAATGTACATTTAACCTGACATTAATAAAACATAAAATATACCCAGAAAGGTTAGTCAGCTCACTCTTACCTGAACCTGAATTCAGAGAAGGAATGACCTCCATTACCAGTCTCTAGTTAATATGTGAACTATTAAACACTCTTAAAACAAGTAGAATTATGGTCTTGTATAACCAAAATTACTGACTATATAGAAGACACACTGGTAACAGAAGTAAAATAGGTTGCGAAGAGTGTTTCATATTGATTCTAAGACAGTACAGTAAAGTTCAAGTGTTTAGTTCTTTGAATGTGGTGTTTTACCGCTATATTCACTGTGTTGACCTGTAACTTGTTAATGGCGTTTTCTGCTGCTGTGACCGTCTTCACCATGTCTGTCTGTTTGTCCTGAAGCTCTCTCTGTAAACACAATGTGACACTGAAGACTGGAGTAATGCTGCTGAAAATACAGAGAAATAAATTACACTTTAACAGATATTCACATAGAAAACATCTACTTTAAATTGTACTAATATTTCACAATACTACTGTATTTTTTATTAAATAATGCTCATTGAAAAAGAGCATCATGAATTTGCTTTACTGAAGAAAGAAAAAACACCTTTATTTGTTTAGCATGCAAATATGCCAGAGAGTCTGACTGTAAATAACCCAGCAGCATTCATATACACGGCCACAGCAAAAACCATCAAGAAATGACATAAAGTAATGTTTCAAGCATGTTAAAGACACGCAAATACCTGTTCAAGTGTTGCATCATCCTGAAAACATGTCATATGTCACGAAAAGTGTTACATTCTGCTTCCAGTCACGTTGAGAAACCTCTCTTTAGAAAATACCATACAAGTTTTTCTGCTTACTAATGCTTTGTGTTTGCTAGTTGATTTATTGATAAGTGTGGTCATGTCAGTCTTCACTACATGCTTCATAGATGTTTTTCATTCTCGAGGAGATGATTTCAGCCAGACGTCATGAACTGGCGTTCACAACTGGATGTAGAACAAGTTTCAGATTAGAGAGCAGTGTATTTTCATTAGAAATGCATTAAAAGGTTATACCTACGTCAATGAGGTTTCTATCAGGAAAGGAGAAACCTTAAGAGATCTCTGAAAAATCTCACTTGTCACAATTAGTGAGCAATGCGATTGAGTCAAACTCACACTAAATTACAGTACACCCTAAATACATAACTAACCAAGCTTAACCAAAGAATAACCTAAATAATGATGGATATCGAATCCTGAATAATCAATAATGTCTCTGTCAAACTGAAACTGTTTCGTTACATTTTTGTTACACTGTTGCCTTTAAAAAACTCACCACCACCACATTACAACTCTCCTCAACAAGACACATTATTTGAAGAATCATTTATGTCTGGAACACAAAGTATTGAAGTTGATTGTGTGAGGTTGATCACATCACAAACTCTCAGTATGAGCAACAGTAACAGACTTGATGACCACTTATAGTCATTAATCATGACCACATTGTCCCGTTATCAGGCCTTTGTTACAGTATGTGTGACCTGTTCTTTTAGGTCAGAGAGAGAAATAGCATGATGCATGACATGATCTGATCTGCATCAAACACGGAGAGATGCATCCTGATGTGGTTTTGTACTATATGATCTAACAATAGAGGAAACATTCTGTTCCTTATTTCACTGAAAAGATTCATTAGATATAAGGAACAGTCTGTACGCTTGAGGCTAATATCACCCTTAAAGGTAAAGTGTAAGTTGTTAAAGTCTAATAAGTAAGTTGGATGCAAATCCTGTGGCTGAATTCGGAGCAGCATCCTACTCTTGCTATTTCTGCCATATATTTGCATACAGTTTCTTATGCATGCTAGTATGTGATTCAGAATGCTATCATAACAATCTTATGTTAGTTTGAGCATCTTGAAACAGCAACACTGTCCCAGTGGCATGATATTGGCAATCTGTTTTACTGACCAATGGCAGACGGAGAAGTGTCTGGGAATATTTTTTGCATCTATTGCAATATTTTTGTTCTAGTGGCTCAAAAATGGCATATTTCAATTTTTTTTCTGGTCCAAAAATATATGATGATCAAAATGGCTGTGCAATGGAGCCTTTTTACACCAAATACTATCATTTTCACTCTCTAATTTTACACTAACAGATCATTGTCGCGATCATTTCACAGAAACTGTTGAATTTTTTTGTCATACACTACTGTTCAAAAGTTTGGGGTCAATAACATTGTAATAATACTTTCATTAGCAAGGATGCATTAAATTGATCAAAAGTGACAGTAAAGACATTTACAGTATATATTACAAAAGATTTCTAATTTCAACTAAACGCTTTTCTTTAGAACTTCTATTCATCAAAGAATCCTGAAAATAAATATATCAATGCGAAGCAATGTTTTCAAAACTGAAAATAACAAAAAATGTTTCTCGAACAGCAAATCAGCATCTTAGAATGATTTCTTAAGGATCATGTGACACTGAAGACTGGAGTACACTCTTAAAAATAAAGGTGCTTAAAAGGTTCTTCATATGCACAGCAATGCCATAGAAGAACCATTTTTGGTTCCACAATGAACCATTCAGTCAAAGGTTCTTTAAAGAACCATCTCTTTCTTACTTTTTTATAATCTGAAGAACCTTCTTTCGCCACAAAGAACCTTTTGTGAAACAGAAAGGTTCTTTAGATGTTAAAGGTTCTCTATGGAACCATTTAGAGAAAAAAGGCATGGTGAAGCACCTTTATTTTTAAGAGTGCAATGATGCTGAAAATTCAGCTTTGAATCACAGAAATAAATTACATTCTAAAATATATTACAATAGAAAACAGATATTATAAATTATAATAATATTTCACAATTTTACTGTATTTTTGATGAATTAAATGCAGCTTTGGTGAGCATAAGAAACAAAAAACCCAAACTTTTGAACGTAGATTCTCATTACCTAAATATTTCGCACCATTTCAAGTTATTAAGTTAACAAGTAAACAGGCGTACCTCAATCTTCCTGCGCGCCTCAGGGATGGGCACGGCGTTGTGTCCGCGGTGCTCCTCCGCCACGCACTCCACACAGACGCAGCACGCGTCGGCGCAGCAGAAGAGCTCCAGCGCGCAGCGGTGCGTCTCACAGGTGCGTCTCTCGATGTCCCGCAGCGGCTCCACCAGCCTGTGGCTCTGGAACTTGACGTTCTCCAGGTGCGGCCTCAGGTGAGCCTCGCAGTACGACACCAGGCAGGTCAAGCACGACTTCTTGGCGCGGCACGGCCGGTCGATGCAGGAGTCGCAGGTGACATCGTTTGGCCCCAGCGCCTCCTCTTCATCCTGAGGCTTCTGAGGGTCCTCTGGTTCCTTGAGGTCCTCCTGAATCTTGCTTTCCTCAATGGTATATATATATATATATGTATATATATATATATATGTATATATATACACCTTGCTACGTGTACTGCGTTAGGCTAACCGAGACTTGTCATTTGCACTTATATATTGTTGCTCTTTTGTTAGTTTTGACTGCTTTTATTGTCCTAATTTGTAAGTCGCTTTGTATAAAAGCGTCTGCTAAATGACTAAATGTAAAATGTAAATGTAAATGTAATTTCTGTCTCCTATAATATTTGCTTTAATCTAAACAAAAACTGTTTCAAATCCTAGTGAGCAGCCTATCTAGACAGCATTTGAAGACATCACAATAATTATGCTCCTATCCAGATACCTTCATTTGGCCAAAATTTTAAAAGCAGCATCACACGTAACCTTGGCTGAGAAAATGCACTGCAAACTCGATTGGAATCAACAGTCTCCTGTGTGTTTCACATACAGATGTGCAATTTATCAAAATAGTCTCTTAAAGGGATAGTTCACCCAAAAATTCCGTCATCATTTGATGCTGAACACAAAAGAAAATATTTTAAAGAATTTTGGTAACCAAACAGTTGACGGTAGCCATTGACTTACAAAATATGGAACAAAATACAATGGAAGTCAATGGCTACCGTCAACTGTTTGGTTACCAACATTCTTCAAAATATTTTCTTTTGTGTTCAACAGCTGAAAGACATTCATACAGGTTTGGATCAACCTGAGGGTGAGTAAATGACAGAATTTTAATTTTTAGGTGAACTTTCCCTTTAAGAGACGGCAAAGGCAGCTCACTAAACTTTGGAACAAAGCTAAAGTGTGTCCTGTAGATCAGGTAAAGTTTTATGCATCTTTTTAGTCTTCATACAGCTGCATATTGAAGCTGAGAGCTGATCTAGGGTCATGTATGATAAAAACTGCAGTGCTTTATTACCACTGATCTGACAACAGTGCATAAGGCAATGATCCTTACATTCAATAATGTCATTTAGCTAAGCGAATAGGAAGCACTGTCATAAATGAAAAGAGGCTCTCTTTGCACGGCATTGCTTGTTATAAAGTCAACACCATCCTGTGTACTTTCTTATTGCACATTCCTGGTCTTTTCACGATTCGTCAGTGCATATTATTATAAACGAACAAATGTTTAACTCCATAATCCTTCATCAAATTGTCATCCATCTCTGAAAGCTCTTTCTTTTCCAGCTGATGCCATCATTCAAGTCTCATCTAACATGTTTTTTCTTGTCAAATACCCTGTTTCTTTCATAGATATGTCACGTTCTGCAAGTAAAATGGGTTGTGAGCCGAGTTTCACGTTGGCTTTAATTCTAATGCCTTCATGCACCAATTGAAAGTGTCTAAAATGTGGACGGTCGTCATGTCAGTGTCCATCTTCCCGTGTCTTCTGCTCTTCATCCCATCATCACTGGATTCCCACCAGTTCAGTGATGGGCGGCACGAACACCATCAGCTCCTGATATTTGTGGAAGAACAGACTCAGACGGGAGATGTAAGCGTCCTCCTGATACGGCAGCTTCTTCTCCTTCAGATACTGAGACACGAGCGGCTTCACCTGACAATAAACACATGCACATTCACTATTATGTATATTTATTTGGCATCTTATCTTTATTGATTAGTTTATCCTTTTTAATCTAGTTTGAATAACGTTGCTTCATTAGTTTTTTCATTTTTGTGAATGTATTGTTACTGTTTTTATGCTGCATTTGAATTTAATTTAAATAAAACAATTTTATTAACATTTGCCATATTATCCTTATCTATTACTATCACTTTTTAAAATGAATCTTGGCTAATGTTAGTTCATTACTTTATTCCTTTTTGTGAATTGTATTGTTACTTTTAATTACTGTTACAATTACTGTTAATTTATTTAATTATTTAATTTAATTTAATAAATTACTTTAATTTAATTTAATAAATTACTTTTTGCAAATTCGATTGTTACATTATTTGTTTGTCACAATTTAATCTAATAAAATGTGTATATTGAATTGAATTGTTTATTTGTATATATTTAGTTGGCATATCATCCTTACCCATGAATATTTTCTATTTAATTAATCTGGTTTGACTGATGTTTAATTCAATTATAAAATTAACTTGTTAATTAAATTATTACTTTTTGTGAATTTTATTAATACTTTATTTGTTACGGCTGCATTTTAATTTATTTAAATATTAAGGTAAATTTTTTATATCCTGTTTATCATATTAATCAGTTTGTACTTTTTTAAAGTTACTTTATTTGTGAATTTAATTTAATGTCTTAAAGAATGTAATGTTTATTTGCAATATTTATTTCTTTAAATTATGTGAATAAATGATAATATAAATAATACATATATAATGAATAAACATGAATAATTATGATAATGATATATACTATTATAAATTCAATTATTTAAATTAAATGACACTTATAAATTCAATTAATTATATATTATAATTTATTATAAATTCAATGATTCCATTAAAATGCAGCATAAACTTTTAGAAAAATATAAAAATTATTAATTAATTTATTAATTAAAATGATTTCATGTAATGATTTAATTTAAATGCTAGTTTAAATGATTACATTATTTAATAATGACATTTTTGGAGCGATCTGCAGTTTGTTCCATGCCCATGAGTTGTGGTTTGAGCGCACACCTTCAGGCACATGTTGTCAGACAGGAATGGGAAGAGGTGATGCTCCACGTGGCAGTTGATGAGGGAATGGCCGAAGGTCCAGTCCAGCAGCGGGTTTCGGGGAAGGTTCAGGACTCCGTGTGTCATCTGGTAGATGCGTTTGGGCCGGTGAGTGGCAGAAAACATTGGCAGGCCGATGTGCTGCGAAAGCGGAGACACAGAAACCAACTCAAAAAAAGAAAACTGCAACTACAACAATATAAAAATAAAATGCAGAAACAGAGAAGAACGCGGAGCCTTTAAGCGATTCAACTTTTAGCTCAGTGTGTGTTTGATCTTTAAGTGGGATGAAATGTGTTCAGCAGCCCGAGAGACGCCACTGACACCACAGGGGACCTGAACTGGACAAAACATACAAATGCACACACATGCATTTATCTCACACACACATACTGTAACACACCGCACAGCATTCACTCCTAAACAAAGATCTCACACATGGCTGTGGGTCTCAGCACAAATACCTCAGAGGATCAGCACAATACAAACGTACATTCTCCCTTTGCTCTGCCTGGGAAAATCATGCGTGAATTGTTCTCCGCCGTTTGACTTTTGTCTGCAGTTGAACCCTGTGAACCTCGCGAGCAGGAGAGGAGAACAAAGCCGTATTGAGCGGGTCTCGCGGGAAAGGATGGAGAGACACACAAAGACAGGGATGGATTGATGCAGACTTCAGCTGAATAGCTTGGAAAGTTCACACTCAGAATGATTACTCTTATGAGCCCGAGAGAGACGACAGAATAATGAAGTGCTGACTGAAGTGTTACTGTACGGCCAGAGAGTTCTGTTGTTAGTGGGTCGTGTGCTGTCTGGATAAAGCTCAAGACCAGAATAATGCTAGTTGCAAGCGATCCATTAACTATCACCACTGTATCTTTGATTATAGCTGAAGTGTGTAATTTCTGTACATCACTAGTATGCAAAAACAACTATTTCTATATTTTCTGAAGATAAGTAGTGTACATTTATATTTTATGAGAATGCAAATACAACTACAGCATACAAAACAACTGTTTGATGAAATGTGTTCAGCAGCCCGAGAGACGCCACTGACACCACAGGGGACCTGAACTGGACAAAACATACAAATGCACACACATGCATTTATCTCACACACACATACTGTAACACACCGCACAGCATTCACTCCTAAACAAAGATCTCACACATGGCTGTGGGTCTCAGCACAAATACCTCAGAGGATCAGCACAATACAAACGTACATTCTCCCTTTGCTCTGCCTGGGAAAATCATGCGTGAATTGTTCTCCGCCGTTTGACTTTTGTCTGCAGTTGAACCCTGTGAACCTCGCGAGCAGGAGAGGAGAACAAAGCCGTATTGAGCGGGTCTCGCGGGAAAGGATGGAGAGACACACAAAGACAGGGATGGATTGATGCAGACTTCAGCTGAATAGCTTGGAAAGTTCACACTCAGAATGATTACTCTTATGAGCCCGAGAGAGACGACAGAATAATGAAGTGATTTATTTTTTTAAGATAAATGGTATAAATGCTTATATTTAATTTTTTCTGAGCATGCAAAAACTGCTATATTTTATATTTTCTGAAGAAAATAAGTGTAAATGATGTAATTCATATTCACTAAACATGCAAAAATAACTATATTTGTATATTTTCTAAAAATTAGTGGTATAAATAATTTAATTGATATTTTCTGAACATGCAAAAACCACTAATTTTGTTTTTATATTTTCTGAAGATAGGTAGTATAAATAATTAAATTTATATTTTCTGAGCATGTACTGTAAAACAAATATAGCATGCAAAAACCACTATATTTTATATTTTCTGAAGAAAAGTGGTGTAAATAATTTAATTTATATTTTTGAGCATGCAAAAACAAATATATTTTCATATTTGCTATATTTTACAGCAATATATTTTCTAAAGAGAAGTGATATAAATAATTGAATTGATATATTTACTGAGCATATCAAAACAACTATAGCATGCAAAAAAACTATAATTTTTATATTTTCTGAAGATAAGTAGGGTAAATAATTTAATTAGGATTTTCTGAGTATGCAAAAACAGCCATAGCATGCAAAAACAACTATTTTTCATATTTTACTGAAAATAATTGGTGTAAATAATTGATGCTCAGGTTGTATCTCAAACAACTGTAGAAAGCATGCAAATCAAAAATATTGGTGCACCACCAAAAAATATATATCATAGTCATATATCAAAATACAGCTTGCTGTCTTTTTGCATTTGATCTCACCTGAAATATGTTGACGTGTATGTACGGCAGGGAGAACATGGCTCTGCACAGAAGCATGACCAGCAGAGCGGAGCTGCACGACAGACCCGACACACTCCTGAGCAGATAATACTGAGAAAAAAAGCCCAGACACACACACGGGGCGGTGCGCAGGATCTGGAGCGGAGACTGACCCTTCAGCTGACCTGAAACACATGACAGAATATGCTGGAGGTTTCTCATCAGCGCATACACTCACCCACAGAAGAGGTCAAATGTAAAGACACTTTACCGAGTTAAATGAACTCGGTTGATGTGGCGTGCTAAGCAAAAAATCATTTATATCCTCAGTGAAAGTGTGTGCAACAACAAAATCACTGTTACTCAAAACATTTCTGATGTTTAAATGAAAAGTTCACCACAAAATGATCACATATGGTTAATCTCTTGTTGCTTTATCACATATTAACTGGTTAGGATGCACTGAGAAGCTGTGTCTGTAAGGGCTGAAAGGCCTCACCGACGGCGACGATCGGCGTGATGATGGGGACGGCCAGCGGCGCGATGAACAGATAGACGGATCGAGGCAGGAAAGGGATTTTCCAGGTGCTGGAGTCTCCCAGACCGATCACATTAGTGTGAGCATGATGCATCTTCACGTGAGCCTGAACGCCGGCCCGCGCTGAGAACGAGCCGCACACCTGAGAGACCACAGAGATTCTCGTGATGCATGCAGGGGTACAGAAGAGACCACATCTCATCAAAATCTATTCTCATTTAAGAGTTTGTGCAGCATTTAAAACAAAAAAAAGATTATGTTCAATGAAGAATTGTGCACCATTTCTAAGTGACCTACCAAATGTAAGTAAATAAGTGTCATTGATCATGTAACTCTTTGTACAGATGTGCTTGCTTTCACTGAAGCTCAAGATGCTTTTTGGAACATCTCAAATCATGTGAGATTTTAATTTAATGTGATGATTTAATAATTTAATTTAAATATTAAATTAAAACAATAATTTGCATTAAATATTTAAATTGTAATATTATCATTAAATTAAATTGTTACATTATTTACTTACATTATTTTAAAGTTTTTGTCGATTAATCGTTTGACAGCACTAATATATATATATATATATATATGTTTGGCATATTATCTTTATACATTAGTTTATAATGTTTTAATAATCTTGTTTGACAAAAGTTTCTTCATCAATTTTTTCCTTTTTTGAATTGCAGTTACTTTATTATTAAAAACTTGAAATCGCATCATATGACCCCTTTAAGGGTGCATTTACATTACGATTGTAATAAAAATTGAAAAGTTCTGTGTAGACAACAACGTTGTCAAAACAAACACAACTAAAAGCGCTGTATTAAGCATGCCAGGCCAGTAGATGGCAATGCCACTTTGTAAAGAAACATTATGCGAACACGTAATATGCATTCCTATCTACCTTTTTCCTAAGCCCCATGATGCTTTGCACAAATTATGGGAGTAACTTCCCTTTATACTGTAAACAGTCAGCAAAAGGTTTGCTCTATATGAGCGCAATAATAAGCATTTTCAAAAACTGAGTACATACTGTGACATTATTTTACTCACCCTTTAACCATCGATCATTAAAAGGAAATTCAAAAGTGTAAAAGCATTAACAAATGACTTTCAACATACCATAAATAACTCCTGAAGAGCCTCCTTCTATCTGCAGCAATATTACGTACATGTTAAATATCATTATAGTAATATATGTCTATATTTGGTAACAATTACATTTTACAGCATCCGTGTGAAGACAAACCTGGAAAGAGACGTGAGGATTTGGGGAGAAAAATGAAAGATTCTTGGTGTATTCCAGGGAATTATTTATGGTATATCGTAAATTAAATCGGGAGAGCAGACCACAAATGCACAGTATATGTTGTCTTTTATCATTTACTTACAGTGGAATACAAAGGAAACATGAAAATAATCAGGAGGAAAATAATGCAGCGGGCTGAAAAGAGCTATTAACGTTATTCTCCTGACTTCTGAAAATAAAAAATGAATGAAAATTTACAGCCCATTCAGACAAAATAAGGATTATTTGTAGCGCAATCATGATTTGAAGTGATTTGTTGCAGTCTTTTTGAGCAGAACTTCCCCAAACCGGAAGTGCCTCGCCTAATTAAAAATGCAGTCGGCTTATTAGAAATAAGGCGGATACACTGAACATGTAATACGCACACGTATGACGTCATCGTTTCTGGCAGTGAATAAACGTAAATAATTTTGAATTCATGTTTCATTTGGTATCTTTTTTTAATTAAATTATGTGTTATGATGGGTATGTTTGAAGAAATATCTGCTTTTAATTATTTAATGAGGCAATGGTTATATTTATTTTAATGTTTCTGGGTATTATTTATTATTATGTATTATTTAAAAAAAAGTATCATGTAGATCATGCATTTTTTTTTTTTTTTTACATTTTGGTGTCATATTTCATATTTGTTTTGCCAAAATCCAAAGACTGCCACTAAATTTAAAAAATATGATGCTGTTAATTAAATTATGCCATGTCCTGTTGTTTTGGCTCGTATAATAGAGTATTAAAATATATTTTTTCTCATAATTTAGAAGTTTCGACCCCCATCGCTGTTGGTTTCTCCCTGAAAGACGAGTCAGTGGCTCGACTGCTGCAGGAAACTGGATCTGCCCAATGAGAGCGAAGCACCCGGATCGAACCGGTCGCCATGACAACCACCGCCACAGGAGCGCCTCGGTGATTTGGATATTAAAGGGATAGTTTACCCAAAAGTGAAAATCCTGTCATCGTTTACTCACTCGTTCCAAACCTGTACGAGTTTCTTTCTTCTGCTGAACGGTAAAGGAAGACATTTTGAAGAATGTTGGCAAGCAAACAGTTTCTGCCCCCCTTTTTCCTTATTATGAAACTCAATGGGGACCATGCAGCAACTGTTTGGTCTTCATTCTTTTGTGTTCAGCAGAAGAAAGAAATTCTTACAGGTTTGGAACAAGTTAATGAAGACCGAATTTTCCTTTTTACCTGAACTATCCCTTTAACTGTCGCCAATGTCTGAAAGCTTAAAAGCTTAACTGTATAAAGAAGCCAAGTTGTTTGAATTAAAAGTTAAAGAACGTTTGGTACGAAACTGAAGTTTTGGTTTCTGTGTCAGTGTTAAAGTGTTAACCCAATAACCGGCTGGCACACAGTCACACCCCTTCATGACTAAACCAGTCAACAATTTGTTTTTAATGCACATTATCCAATATACTCCCTATTAATGACAGTACACGCCCTCATACAACTCATACAGGCCGTTGTAAACACAATGACATGTTGAAATGAAAACAATCACAGCAACAACAAAAAACACACTTTGAATGTTCCCTAGACTCTGAGCAACTTAAATCAAAATGCATACTTAAAATACTGTACTTCACATTTCTTTGTAATTATTTGTACATTTTTACAAATTATGAGTGAAAACTGTTTCAAAGTAAAGTTTTTTTTCAGATGTGAATAGCTGAATCTCAAACAAAAAAGGAAATTATATTTTGCATAAAGAAAACAAAGCCTATTTGCCTTTCCATACATGCATGCATGATATATGCATTATTATGACATTTTCATTCAGTAAAATTCTCACTATTCTAATATATTTTACTTTTGAATGTTTTTGTAATTCCCCTAATTATTCTCATTAAATCAGTTAAGATATAAAATTACTGTCTATAGGCTACTATTTTTAAATAATACATAATTTTTTTTTTTTGCATTACAGTAATGAGAATTTAAAGTGGAAATGTAGCTATTTTGATTTCTTTTGTTTGTTTGGAGATTCTCCCAAAGAGCCTGTGTGTCTTTTGTGTCTATAATGAAAAGTAGTGAAAGTGTGTGTGTGTGTACCTGCCGGTAAACTGATGAAGGCTGCGGTGAGGATGCTGCAGTCTATTCCTCTCCTCTCCCACCAGCTGCTCTCTCTCACACTCTTCTGCACCAGGCGCGTCAGCTCCATCATCAGCGTCTCCCGCTCCGCGTCGCGGTGTCCTTCGCCATCCCGGGACGCGGTGTCTCTCCTCTTCTCTGGATTGCTCTGCATGCTAGCGCTGGAGCTCGGAGACGCACACACTCTCCGTCCCGTCCGCGCAACAAGGCAGTGAGGGACTTTAGTGCTGACTGCGCTAGAAACGGATCTCTCTCTTTCTCACAGTATCTTTCTCGTTCCCACGGCGATGCCTTTGGCAGGAGTGTCCTCAATGCTGCAAGAGTCCTGCGTCATCTCCTATCACAAGAACAGCGCACACATGCACGCGTTTTATGGGGATTCTCCATAGCCGAAATTTTTATTTACTGTACAAACCTTATATTCTATCGCCCTACACCTAAACCTACCCATCACAAGAAACTTTCTGCATTTTTAGATTTTCAAAAAACTTAATTTTGTATGATTTATAAGCTTGTTTCCTCATGGGGACCAGCAAATGTCACCACAAGGACAAAGAATTCGGATATTGCCATCTTTTTAGGGACATTTTGTCCACATACCTTATAGGGTTTACCAGGACCACACACACACAGCTACAGAATGAATTTCAAAACCACTAAAATGTAAAACCGTTTTACATTAACAACCAATTTTTGTGAATGATTTTCACAAAAATTAATTTTTGCATTCAACTGAACAATTTTACACAAAATACACAAATTTAACACATTTCTGTACAAGACAAAAAAATAAAATAACATAATAATTGTACAATTTACACAAGAATTCTGAAATTTCTATGTAGACAAATAAAAAAACTCCCTGTCAAATCACAAAATCAACAATTTATGCAAGAATAGTTTTACAGATGATTTATACAGAAATTTGTTTAGTTTGGTTTAGTGAAAACTCTATTTGACAGTTTCTTTTACTTGCACAGAAATTCAGCATAAAAATCATAGTTGCAAAATTCATAAAACCATTTTACAAAAATCTAAAAACACATTATGCAAGGGTTTAACATACATTTTGCACATGAATTCTGCAATTTTTATGTGAAACAAACCAACAAAAAAACTATCAAAACACAAAATCATGCAACAATTTATGTAGAAGTTATTTACACCAAAATCTGTAAGTTCTCATCTTTCTTGTTCCTACAATGATGCCTTTGGTACACATGCAGGTCCCATGTGGCGTCTTGTATCACAAGAACAACACAGTAAACTCACTCTCACTCACTCACTCACTCACTCACACACACACACTTACTTCCTACAGTTATAGAATATATTTACTCTCTCTCTCTAATCTACTGACTCGCCCATGTATTCATTCTGTCTCTTTTTAATCTACTTGGCAGAAGACAAAAGAAAAGGTGCAGCAAAAAAAAAAAAAAAAAGGCAGAAAGGACATTAGCGATTCTATACAGTACACAGAATGTAGACTATTTAAAATAAAAAGAAACATCAAATACAGGTCAGTAAAAATGACTAATTTATTAAATTTAAACATTTTAAAACAACTATCCACATTTTGTCACTGAAAACATTGGCATTCCCTGAAAATGAGTCTTGGGTCATATTTTACCCCAAAATCAAAAGTAAACATACATTTTTAAAAATCTAATCGTTTTTTTTTTTTTTTTTGGGTGAAATATGACCTGACATAGTCAGGGACATTTGTAAAATGTAAAGACAATATTTAGAGTTTCATGCAAGACTACAAAAGAGGAGAGGAAAGAGCACAGAATGAAAACCAACACTGTGCTTCATGAAACATTATACAAAACAAAAGTAACATAAGCAGAACAAATTTCTTATGAATAATTAAGAGTGGATTTATGAATGATTTACACAGAAATGTTTGTATTTAAAATATTTTCCTACAATTTACATAAGAAAAATTTTAGTTTCTACATTGAAAATTTCATACATTTCTCTGTTTGACAATGAATTTTACATAGAAATTTGTGAACGAATGAGGACCAATCTGAGCTAAGAGCCAGTAAAAGACACAGAAGCAAATAAACTTGTATCCAGACAGGTACTGAACACACATACTGTCATGTACACTGTACATGTAAGAAGGGCTAGCTGTGTGTAGCTGAATTGTGTGGAGATGGAGTGTGAAGGATAGACAGATAAAGTAACAAGAGTTATATCAGCTTTCAGCAGGTCAGCCTCTAAAACCTGCCGCACACACCCATAAATGAGCGGACAGCAGAGGAACATGGCTCCAGAACAAACATCTCACCCACTGAGCGAGAAGCTTTGACTGCAGTCGATCAATAACATACACAGAAACCGCACATCAATAAAACTGTGCAAACATCAGGTGGCCAATGAAGGTATTTCACACACCCAAACTCCAACCACCTCTCAGCTGGAGTCAGTTAGTACAGCATACAATCATTATAATCATCAGAATTCCAAAGATGAAAACTCTAAGCACGTACTTACCTTTTTATATAACTGATATGTCTTTTGGCCAGACATTGATGCAAAGCTTCATATGTACAACTAAACACAAAAAAATTAGACAATGCTTGCACATACAGACCTGAATGTATGATCTTATAGACTTTTTGATCTAAATGATTCTACTTAAATGCTTGAAATTACAGTCATATAAATTGTGGATTTATTTACCATGTTAATTCTCCACCATGGTACATAAAATTAATAAAAAAGTGAATTAGAGTAATCTGGGACACTAAAGCGCTGATATATAGATTTTTGCTCCACTAGTAAATATATGTCAAAATCAAGCTGCGTCATCATGTAATAACAAAGGCTTTGTTTCTTGGTCTGAATTGTTACAGTTGAAAATCATTGCAAAGTTGAAAATGCTAATTATTACTGCAAATGACCTAAAATACTGCATCAATATGCAAGGCAATAATTCAGGAACCACAATATCTTTGATGAACCTCAATATGGTAAATAGCAGGTCAGATTAAAAATTTGTGTAAATTTTACCTCCAAACTACATGTGCATTCATAACAGCAACCATCAGCATATAGACTTCATTTTCCAAGTAGAACTTCTTTGTGAGCAGACAGTTTTGCTGGCTAGAGAGTAAGCTGTACAATAGAAGAGCTGTAGTTTTCCTCCCAACCACAAGGTGGCAGGCATATCACTCACTCATGCACAGACACACACAATGGCTCTGCTCCAGATGCAGGTATAGGAAGCATTTAAAAAATGTGAATTGCACTGTAAATCCTGTTTTTCTTCCACAATGTCATGCATTTCAAAGCGATCCAGGATATTTAATTAGGAAAACAAGTAGGATGGGACTTGATTTTGTCAATCTGGTATTGATCAGACAGGGTTAAAAATGAGTTGCATTCCAGAGTGGAATCAAAATTAATGAGCGTTTAATGAAGCTATTTGGCTATGATTAACATTATTCAATCGCCTGCAGCAGAAAAGCAAAGTCATTCCACAGGAAAAGCAAGTTACTGTATGGTAGATTAGGGAAAACATTTTCACTGTTAACTAAGTGTTTTCCCTCAATAAATTCCTAATTTGCTGCTTATTATTTATAGTAAGGTAGTTGTTGTTGTAGTAGTTATGTTTAGGTATAGGGTAGGGTTAAGGGATTTAGAATATGATCATGCATCAGTATGTGCTTTATAAGTACTAATAAATAGCCAATATGCTAAAAATATGCATGCTAATAAGCAACTATTTATTAGTGAATAGTGTCAAAACTAGTGAATAGTGTTCCCTAATCTAAAGTGTTACCATATTTTGCTTAAAAAACACAAAGCCAAATATATTTTTCTCTCTGTGGAATAACAAAAACAAAACTTTCCTATAAAATGTAGCTGAAATTTTGGTAATGTGAATGTACCTTAAGACTGGGGATGAACATTTAGTAAACCAGGTCAACTGAGGCTTTGTAGACGTGGCTAAGTGGCTTTAAACAGTAGGCGGCATAATTATCTTGTAGCAAATACATTGTTTTGGCAAAATCTTCACAGAGAAAGCAATCTTAGAATGCAACAAGGTCAAAGTAAACAAATACATCCAAGATGGTAGTCAAGATGAGAGAAATTCTGGAAGTCTTGTCTAATACATGGGAGAAATGCATGGGAGACTTGTTCATGTCAAATCTCCCATGCACTTTGCATGAGAAGCGCTATTTTTGTGGTGTGTTGAGTTGCTGCCTATGTAGACACTTACGAGGATACAGTGCAACTAGGATGCTACTTTAAAAACAACTGCTTATGCAGGCAACAAGAAAGTACACTAGATTTTGGAACAGAGTCAATAACAGACATACACACTCTACAGCACAGTGTCCTGCATGCCATCAGCTTCGTCCAGAACATTGTTGCGTCTGCTGCATGCATCAAGTAGTTTTTTACGAGGTCCGAGTGGAATGTGGATGCTAATGAGGTCCTGCTCAGAGCACAACAGCAATGCATCCAGGTCCATCTGCTCTCGATGGAAGATGGAGAGGAAGTCACTCAGTCCCTGAGATGCCAGGAACACTTCTAAAGGAGCCGAAGATGGCTGAAGCTCGTCATCCTCCTCCTCCAAGCCCAGGTCTCCTTCCTCCCATGGCAAATCCTATAGGATGGCACCACATAAGAACAATCATCATAATTATCATAAAGCCCCTCTTCCAGATGTAGATGCAGTGCCTTCTCATAAACTGATTAGATCAACAGATTGACACTGACTGATTCAGATTACCACATTTCTATCATGACAACTCTCAGAAGATTTTAACATGGTAATGGATATGACAATGTTAATGTATTTGGTCTTGGCGGAAAAGATATGCTACGCTGTTGCAGCTGGATTGCTGCTGCTGTTGGTTATTGCAGTAGTTGTAGATTATTGGTGCTACAGGAAATTGCTACTGCCGATGCATACAGCGATACGGTGCTGTGAGTATTTAAGACATACTGCTGCTGCACAAATAGCATATAAAATATCCCTTAGCAGATCTGTACAGGTGGAGCTAGGGAAGGTCGAGGGTTTCCACCTTCTACAGTCCTGGAGAACCACCATTGTCCTGCAGAGTTCAGCTCTATCCCGAATCAAAAACACCTGCCTATAAATTTCTAGTAATCCTGAAGACCTTTTGGTTAGATTGGGGATGAAGCTAAACTCAGCAGGACAGTAATCCTCCGGGACCAGAGTTGCCTATCCTTTATGTGTTGCAAGTTCAACACTGGCAATAGTAAGAATCTAGTTCAGGGGTAACCAACCCTTCTCCTGGAGGGCCATCCTGGAGAGTGTATCCCCAACTCGAATCAAAGACACCTGAACAGGCTTATCAAGGTCTTCTGGATTACTTGAAAACAAGAGTCAGGCATGTTGGTGCAGGGTTAGAACTGAAGACCTTAAGAAGGTAGCCCTCCAGGAGCATCAACTTAGAACTAATCAGATGAAGCTAGCACTTAATAAGTGTTGCTGTAGGGATTAATAGGAACAAGTGGAATTTGTATGGTATCTGGTGATTCTTGTTTGTACCTGTAAGTTCTTCTCTTGGAGACTCAATGAGCTGCCAATGCTGACTTCATCAAGACTGGGTGATCGTAGTGGCAGTCTCCCCCGTAAGCGGACATTCGGGACCCGTCCCACTGGTTCACTCCCCGCCACACTGCCCTCATTCTGTCCCATTCGGAACAGCCCATCAGTCACAAAATTCCGACGGAATACCATAGTACCAAGTCCTGGGCGGTTGAACAAGGAGTCCCTACCCGAGTCTGTACTTATTTCCGAGTATGCAGCGTCATACAAACCTGGATCACTTAGTGCCCTTGAAACAGTGTCTACCTCATCATCATCATTGTCTGGCCTGATGTCCTGTTTACCAGAAAACATGTTGCGGATGTTGAGCCGAGGGCTGGACTGCTGCCGTCGGTCGACGTACGTTCCCTGCTTCAAGAACATGACGTCATTGCCCAGCTGAAGACCAGAGAGCGAGCGAACGCTCCGTCGCCCGTCTTCGGAAATCTTGAATGTTCCGTCGCCTTGCTTTTTCTTCTCAAGACGCCGCTGAATCTTGGTCCGGCCTCTTGTTGTGGACTGAAGCGTTGCCTGTAAAGAGAAGTTTATAATGGTCATATATTCTTTGTAATACTTCACACTGTATATAAACTTTGCTTCACACACATTTAGGCACCCTATTTGAAGACTGACTACTCTTATTGAACTAGCATGCACTGAGGTCCACAGAAGCATTATGCTACTCTAATAAGGAAGCAAGTCTTCATTTAGCAAATGCTTAATCTAAAGCAATATCCCAGGCTTTGCACAATAGAATAATGTTGATAAATCATGTGGGGACTGAATCAGCAACTGCTACAATCTACTTCCATGTGTTTAACAGTATATGGACACCCTCTTCTAAATGACAGGTTTGCATATTTTAGCTACACCTTTTACTAATGAGCATAAGGTCAAGTCATGCAATCACCATAGGCAATAATTTTTACTAAGATAGGACACTTTTCCATTGCACCATGATGATGCCCATGTGCAAAAAGGTCAATAAAGAAAACCACCTGCCTTGAACCCCAATGAACACCTCTGGGATAAATTGAAAATGCAGACTGTGAGCCAGGCTACAGTCTTATTGGTAACATGCTACACTCTTATACAGGGTTGTCCAGTCCTGGAGGGCCAATGTCCTCCAACCTGCCCAAACACACTTGCCTAGAAGTTTCTAGTGATCCTGAAGAACTTGATTAGCTGGTTTCAAGTGTGTTTGATTAAGACTGGAGGCCCTCCAGGAATAGGCTTTGAAACAAAGATTTATAACTTGCTTGTCTATATTGACCTAATGATTAAGTCCAAGAAGCAAAGGTTTTATGATGAGTTTAACCGGTTCTATGCCTTTTTAGTACCCATGTGTTGTTCAGGCACAGTACCTGTGAGTATGTCATGTTGGAGTCGAGGGTGTTGAACTGAGGGATCCTTCGACTCAGGGTGCTGCTGAAACTGCTGTAACTCATCGTATCCGACGTGTCCATTGCAGCACTCTCTCTCAAGAAACGCTTCTCCATGTGTTCGTGATGCCTGCGCTGAAGCTTTTCACAGTTCTTAATGCGTTTCTCTGCATTGCGGAAGGCACGGTCCTTCAATTTGCTCACCAGTTTGGGGTTGATGGTGATCTGCTTGGCGGCGATAGTGTCCAGATATCGCACACAGTCCATGTGGCTCCTAGAGGCCGCCATGTCCAGTGGCGTGTGGTAGTCATTGTCCAAGCACCACACATTGGTGCCAAATGACACCAGAAAGGACAGACAGTTGAGATGGCCATTAGCTGCTGCCAGGTGAAGAGGAGTGTTTCCCCAAATATCACATTTATCTGGATCTCCTCTGTGGACCAACAAAACAACAGCAGATCGGTTACATCTAATTCTATAGTTTACATAGTTACATAGTCAAAATTAGTGGTTGATGGATATGGATTTGTCAGTGACTGATACCAGTAATGATATTTAGAGAGCAGGGTGGCTGATGAACAATATAAAATACAAATGAGAAATGAGATGTTTACAAAATATTTATGCAAAATGGTTATCTGCCGATGCTGATGCTCTCAAAATGGCCAAATATTGTCTGATTAATTGGCCAAGCCAATACACTAATCAATTCCTAGTGAAAATACAGGGTGTGTGAATACATGTGTATGTGCACATGTGCGTGTCGGTGCATGAGTGCATGCGTTCATGTTCTGTTGTGTGGCAAGGTGTTGATCTGAAAACGTAACATGATGCTTTGGAGCTCCACTTACCCACTTTAACACACATGTACACACACCCACACACACTATGCACACTGGCTTTGTGACTCACCTCTCCAAGTCATTAAAAACTGTGCACCATGGTATGCATTCATCATCTGCATTGAAAGAGACCTGCAGTATTCATTACCAACCATACTTTACATACAATTCATTCTGTTTGTGCTTCATTCATTAGGCACAATGTTGATAATTTAGTACAAAACCCTGTTTATTGTATGTTAGTATCACATGGAGAGCATGTTAACCAGTAATCATGGTGTCAAGATCAGGTATGCTTGCAATGGCCCATCAACAAACTGAAGTGCAACAGACCTTAGTTAAGACAAATGCATTTAAAACATGCTGTATATATACTCTGCATATTTAATAAGCTGTCTGCACAATCAGCTTGTAACACTCCAAAGAGAAAGGAAAACTTGAAATCGCATCATATGACCCCTTTAAGGTCCATAAGCCAGTATAACCACTCTGTGTTTTCTCTTTTAATCTCATATTTGCAAAAAATCTGAAAAGAGTTGCTGAGGTATAGCCTAAATGGCAAACACCCATTAGCAAAGACCAGCAGAAACGATGTGAGGTTTTATGGGACCATGCAGGGTAACAAGATTAAAATACTACAGAAAGCAAAACGTGAAATCCTGAGGTGTATAATGGTGCTGACATTCAAGTTAGCGAAATGCCAACAGCCAAGGAAACAGGCAGGCGGAAGAGGAATAGCTCTAATTCATTATGTTGACCTTTAACTGTGAACATTAACATCTTTCTCTCTGTCTGGCCATGTGTAAAATTCTTCTCCATAAAAGTGCATGCGGCCCTGAACTGTCTTTAAAGACTCTGAGCATTAAAATTTACTGCTCGTTAGAAATGTAGCACAGGGTTTAGCATTTGTATTCTAGACATATTGGGGCCATTATGCTTAAATATGTGATGCAAAGTCTGTGTTGTCAATCCTATTATTGATTGTTCCTAGTAGTGGAAAAGCCAAATAATTTTGCTCTCAGCTACTAAAAAAAAAGTGTATTACTCAGCTCTTTTTTTCAAAATGGAAAAAAAAAAAAAACACTTGCTAAGAATAATTTTCATTTTTGGATGGCATTACATACCTCTCCTCTACAACCACCTGACTCCATTAATTAATCTAATGCCCATTTTTCATAATCCATAATTCATAATCAACTCCTGATGGATAAAATCAAGCACCTGCAATACATTTTTCATGCTGAATGTTTTGTTTTACTCAGAAATAGGATGGAAAAAAGTAAAATGTGGTAAGTTAAACATGATTTCCCAAAGTAAAAATCACTTCCATAGAATGATGTGAAAATATATGGAAAGGCACAAACATTGTCAATTCCATGGGATCAATCATGACATTCAAATAAATGCTCAGACTGTAAAAATCAAAGTGATCCTCTGTCCTAAACACACTGAGTTATTATGACTCAAACCGCAGTCGTCTCTCTTTGTGAACGTGTTTTCAGTAACAGATGGTTCAGTCAGAGATCTGGAGGGTCTGATGCAGAACACTAATTAGAGAACAGCGAGGGTGTTCACAGAGCAGAACATTTAGCTTCTGTTATTAACCTGGTCATGAGAGAAGAGCCAGGTTATTTAGATCTAATTACCTAATGACTTGACAAACAATACAACACTACTGCTCTCTCCTAAAGCCAGTTCTAAAAAAAGAATAGAAAGCTGTGCCATTATTCACTTTCCATCATGTTCCAAACCCACAAGATGATATTTTCAATGGAACACAAAAGGATATGTTTTTGAAGAATCTTGATGCAGCTTGTTCCATATGTAAACAAGAGCATATGATTTTGGAACAACATGAGTGTGTGAAAAAAAGACCATTTTCATATTTAGTTACATATCCCAGCTAGATTGAGCTGAATGCTTCAGATATCCGTGACATAAGAGATTATTACAGCATGCTTTTATTTGCAACTCTTCTGCATGCAGAGTTCATAATTTGTAATTGAATATAGACCTAGTACTTTTAAGCAGTAATAACAGTAGTGACACTCAAAAGAAAATTGCATTGTTCTCCCGTGTGACCTTTATTTTAATTAGCCCAGGACAGTAAATATGCAAATAAAACAGTCCAGATATCCATCAGTAAGAGCGGCTGGGTGGAGGGCTAAATTATCTGATACAGGAGAACACAGAACTGCCATCCTGTTAATGAAACTGCATATGCCAAAACATAACCAGACCTGAGAGCGTTGTATATTATATAAATTATTTTAAAAATGTATAAACTCTTAGAATGACATGCTTCAAGTAGAACCAAATAGAAAAGGGGTTTTACAGACTGATGCAATAAAGATGTACAGATCAGTGTGCAATATATGTATCACAAATCTTCTCTGAAAAATACTGCAATGTTGAGGGTCTCAGAGACCCCAGGCATTAAAAATTAATGAATTAAATAAATTTTCTCATACAAAGATTTTCAGATGGTGCATTATCAGCAAAATAAATACTGTACATTTACACAATGTGTTTTTGGTGGAGTCAGTCTGACCCAACACAAGCTTTACAGATGTTACTATACTAGATATTTTTGAAAAGAACATGCCTAGAATCTCAATAACAACTATCTTCCGGAATTTGACTTAGTCAACAAATGTGTGACCCTGGAGCACAAAACCAGTCATAAGTAGCACGGGTATATTTGTAGCAATAGCCAACAATACATTGTATGGGTCAAAATTATCCATTTTTCTTTTATGCCAAAATAATCATTAGGATATCAAGTAAAGATAATGTTCCAGGAAAATATTTTGTAAATTTCCTACTGCAAATATATCAAAACTTAATTTTTGATTAGTAATGTGCATTGCTAAGAACTTCATTTGGACAACTTTAAAGATGATTTTCCTCAATATTTAGATTTTTTTGCACCCTCAGATTCCAGATTTTCAAATAGTTGTATCTCTCAGCCAAATATTGTCCTATCATAACAAAGCATACATCAATGGAAAGCTTATTTATTCGGGTTTCAGATGATGTATAAATTCAATTTAAAAAAATGGACCCATATGACTGGTTTTGTGGTCCAGGGTCCCATATTACCAAAAAAAAACTCTATTATTATTTACATGCACCATTTGGGGCCTGGAAATTTTAAACTAAAATAGTTTGGAAAATAAATGCATGAATAATTATTTAAAATATATACTGCTCATGTATCACTCACCCTCGTGCCACCAGCAGTCTGAGCGCATCCAGGTTGCCGTGGTGCGTGGCCCAGAGCGTCGGCGTCATCCCATCCTCATCCGGCGCGTTCAGATCTTTGCGCGTCGCGTCTTTCAGCAGGTGCAGGTGACCGTCTCGAGCCGCCCGGTGGTATTTGTCGTTCATGGCGGCCGCGACTGACCCCTCTATCCCGGCTCACGGACGCTCATTTGGCGTGTGTTGTGTTGGCGAGATTTCACGTGCGCTCCTGGCGTCTCCACTCGAGGGACTGCAAGCATGCTCGCGCGGTTGCTATGGGAGGAGTCCTGGACTGACCACGCCCACTTCCGGTCAGCGCACACCTGACAGATGAGAGCTCGGTGACACATTCAGGTAAAATCACTCTCTGTTACAAGAACATTCCCAGAATGATAAATATTGATGCAGGGTATGATGTAATGATTTGACGCGAATGGCAATTACATTTAGATAAAAACGAACAAAATGACTAAATAAACACTGTAAATAGGCTAGTTATACGTTGCAGTGTTGAAAATAGGTACTTCCAGTATTTATTCAGTAGAAATCGAGTCAGTTTTGTTGAGTTGGTTCTCTCGGTGTCATTAAATTCTCTGGATCTCAAACAGCTTGACATCAGTGTCGTACCAAACAGGAGGATCCACGTTACTAAAACAAGAAAAAAAGCATCTTTAATCATGTTTTATGAGATTTTAGCAGATTTCAACACATAAATACATACAAAACAACACGTTGATCAAGTCCTAATAAAAGGTATAATATGTGTGACTTTCTATGCCGAGTGTAATTTTGAGTGTAGCTCCCACATTGTCCCGTAGAGGGAGACAGAGCGCAGGACTCACCGTAAGTAGATGATGCCCCACATGTATGTGCGGAACCACAGGGCCGTGCCCTCATTGGCCTGGTACTTGCGGATGAGGATGGGATGAGGAACCGGCAGCAAACCCACCAGAGTCCCGTGCTGCAGAAACTTCAGGATCTCAGACTCGTCCGTCAAACCTCTACAAGAACAGCAAGAGCATCCTCACTCAGTCAGGTCAAACCGTAAAGTGTAATACACATGCTTTAGGGTTCAAAACCACACCAAAAATCTGGCATTTAAAATTTAAACTAAATTAGATTAAAACCTGTTAACCCGAAATCTGTTAAAATCAACATGACAGAATGTTGCATGATTTCTAATAATGCAACATTTTTGTTTCTCTGAAAGAAACAGGATATTTAATGAAAAAAAAAAAAGAAACTAATATTAACTACTGTAACAATGGGCAATACATTTGTTACAGTATTTATTAATCTTTGTTAACATTAGTAAATAAAAACAATTATTAATTGTTATAACAGATATTCTCTGATTGACTTATTGTATTTGTAAATGGTGAAATTAGTATCAACTAAGATTAATAAATGCTTTAGAAGTATTATTAGTCTTTGTTTATGTTAACACAGTTAATGAAACTAATGTTAACAAATGGAATGTTTATGTAAAGTGTTACTGATAAACTCTTTCAGTGAGTGAATGATGTTGTATGTGCGTGTCTCACTTGTCTATGCAGATTTTCTCCACCTGAGGCACCAGCACCTGCAGGAGTCTCATTATAGTCTGCAGAGGGAGTTTGCTCTTCCAGGAGAGGACCTGAAAGAGAGCATGCAGAGATTAAATGTGATCAGAATTAATGTTTCGGAGAGGAAAACTCATATGCCTTTTTTTTTCTGAAAAATTTCTCACAAATATTGCAGTGTATATGAGGTCCTCTCAAGCTTTGGTTTATAATTTAAGGGTTTTATGACTGACCCAGTCTGGAGTAGGAGCCCAGTCCGATGAAGACGACACGTGTTTCGGACTTCCATCACAATCCTCTTTTTCAGACTTCTAAGGAATTAAAAAATGAAAAACATTTTATTGATATAAACAGAACAAAGTAACACAGATTAAATGTCAGGGTCATCAGTGATGCTGTACCTTGTCATCTTCACCAGAGGTCGGCTCCGTGTCTCTGACTTGTGTCTCAGAGCTGTGATCTGATTGGCTGTGGGTCGAGTCCCTCTGCTGCAGTAACAGTGTCGCTCCGTCCTCAGAAACCTGTGATGTTTCTGTTAGTTTATCAATGCCTACAACATAAACCAACAATTTATATTTTTTTAATGCAATATTTTTTTTACCGTCAGCAGCAAGGCAATTTTTATGGCGAGAACAAGGTGAATATCAAAAGTCATACAATTAACAAAAATTATACATTGACAAATGGACAAAAAAAAATCTACAAGTATTCTAAAATACATTCAGGTGATACTTTCAAAAATACATCAGTTAAACATTTCTAAATAAAAACATTTACAGAATTTTAATAAGCCAACAAATTGACTGTTAAATTACCAATACAGCAACAATTTGTTTGCATCCAAAGTTGCAAATTAAAAATCTGAATATTGCATATTTCCAAATAAAACAGTTTCCAGCCCATGTGTTCAAGAGCATAAAATCATGACTTCCTGGAAAACTATTATTATTATCACTAAGTTCAAGTGACTATTTGTCTACATAATAATTGTTCCTCAAAATGTGCAGATGGAATGCAGATGGAATCTTGTGTTTGGAAATACAATCATGTGACACAGTTCTGGGAAGGTAATTATAGCAAATAATTTTGATGACAGACATTTATGAATGACTGAAACAATATTTGAGATGGTTAGTTCAGGTATCTAATCACATGATCTGTTAAAGTCACACAAGTTTTTTGTTGCACCTCAAAGAATTTCTTCAGTAAATGCATTTTCACTGTAGTTTATGCACATATATTCTTTTGGATAAAGAAATCATCCGCCTCAGTTGCATGCATATGATTTTTTAATTCACATTTTATGATTTTATGCACTGGATACATCATTTCCATCCAGCTTTTATTTGACATATCTCAAAATTTGCATAAAAATGTGGATGGAAACAGCTACTGGACTCTTAATAGTCAACATACTGAGGCGGGATAGTGCAACTGTGTATGCTGAAGTGGTTTACGTACGTGGCATGGCCTTCAAGCTTGCGTTCAGAGTGCCCGTTTGAACCGGTGTGGTTTTATACGGTCCTTCACTACAGGCAGTGTTGTATGGGTTGCTGGTCTCCATGAAGACGGCATTATGGGTGCTGTTGCTCCTGCTTTTCTTCTGCAGGGCTTTCTGGATCGAGATGACGTCTGTAGGCAGGTTAGCCAGCTGGTGAAAGAGGTTGCGTTTGCGAATGATGCCGTACACCAGGTTAAAGTTACCTGATTTTTAGAGACAGGAGAATACAAATGCTTATAAAAATTACAACAAACAACTGAGTTGCAAAGACCAAAGTTGTAGGATTGTATACCAAGGTTTGCCACAGAAGTCATGTTTTATGGTAAAATGATTTGCATTCAAATAAACAGACTTTTGCTGCTTCATATTTTATTAGTCATTTAAATGAAGAACTGCCACCACGACTGTGGCGACTGCATTTACAGCAGTGATGAAGCTTCAAAAGCAACTTACCATCGAACTGGTACTGAATGATGTTGTTAAAAACTTCAAGCAAAAAGAAAACCAGGTGATGGTTAACAGGTGAGCAGAACAGGAACCAGGGGCTTGAGAAAACCTCCAGCAGGTGCAGTAGTTTGTTGGCTGCTACCATAGACAGACTTTTCAGGTAAGGAGACACTGAAAAAACAACAGCAATGATTCATCAGGAAGTGAAAACAATCTCTCAAAACGTATGTACTTTTTAACCTTGCTTACCATTGACTATAATAGTGAGCAGACAGTCATACAGGGGCTGCAGTCGCTGATGTCCACTGGTGATGATTTTATGGAAAACCTGTCAATAAAAAAAATAATAAAAAATTTGCATTTTAATGCTCATGCAAATCGTATTAGCTTATATTTCCGGGAATGCATGAACTGAAAAGATGCAACATAAGTTGCTTTGGATAAAAGCATCTACCAAATGCATAAATGCAAATATGCATTAAGGATGCATGTTTAACCAATTGTGGTGCACAAAGTTTTAATATGCAGCTGTGTGAGTAAGATTGGAGAGCTTTAGAAAATTGGAAAACTTAAATTAAATTTTGTGTCTGTTCTTTACAAAAAGCTACAAAAAGACTTCAAAAGACATGCAATATTGCACACAAGTCATATGGACTACTTTTATTTAATTTTGTTTTTGGCTTTTAAATCTCCATCATCTCCAATATGATGTGACAAAGTCACATGAACGTATCTGTGTTCATCTCACCACTATCAGCAGGTCAGCATGAGTCCCAGCGAACACCGAAATATCCATTGGCACTCGCACACAGTATGGTTTATTCAGACGCACCCCAAAATTCCTCTCTCCACTTAACAGCAACAAGATGAACATGCCGATATGCACCAGACCGACACGTGCTGCAAACAGATGCATATACACACTAACACATATAGCTATTATCACATCCACTTCATAATAAAATACCATTAAAAATGGGCAATAAACTGAATTAAGATGAGAAAAGTACAGGAAAATAATTTTAAAATGAAACATTTTAACAAAAAAATCTCTCAAAGTACAGTCAAATACATAGGTTAAAATATATGGGTGAATTTCTTATGTATGTGTAACACTGAATGCTTCAGATACTCACACTGATTGGCACGAGCGTCAGTGAGATAGAATAGAATTGGTACCAGAATATCCAGCACATCACTGCTCTTCAACACATAGAACAGGAACTTCTGAAATTCAGAGACGAAGAAACATCACAGTGTGCAGTTATTTTTCGATCAATTACATAAGGATTGTATAAGTAAAATAGTAATTAAAAAACAATTATTTAGAATAAGTATTTTATTTCAGATTTTAGTAAAAAAAAATACTCAACAATAAATAAAATAAAATAAAAAAACACAAGGTGGCACCTTGTTGAGGTCACAGAGTTTCCAGAAAAGCACCAGCAGCTCCTGATGAAACTGGATTTTCTTGCAGGAATGGGGCAGGTATGTCTGCAGCAGGGGGTTATTGAGCAGCCGGCCGATTCCTCGCAAGATAAAATGAAAATCCTACATGCAAAAAATATATGCATTTAGAAAAATATAGCTAGGTATTATTATAAAGATAATATGTGAGGATACTGATCATTTACAGTGTTTAATAGTCTAATACATGTGTAAGGTAGAAGCTGAGGGCTGTTGCAGTTGATTTGGGATGGTTGTGGAGTGTTTGTGTCTCACCTCTTCTCTATGAATTCGAGACAGGTAGTTTACAAACAGGTTTTCGCCTCTCGTTGCCTGAAACGTATCATGAGGAAAAATCTGATACTCAAGCTGAGCGTTTGAAATACTGAACTGTCATAACACTGAACACAGGCTCTCTTACAAAACCTAGTGCCCTGCTTAGACAACATTCTTGGGAATCAAAGACATGCATTGTTCCTGTTTCAAATTATGCTGCATATTTCTCACACAAGATGTTGGATGCCATTTAAGGAAATGTAAGTCACTGTTTTATTCAGCACTGAATCTAACTAAGAATATGTTTGGCACTATTTGTATCTACTATGCATTATTTGTGCTTACAGTATCATGCATGTTTCACTGCATGTTTAATTCATTGAGAGGCATTCAGTTATCAACTTGCATTTTCAAAAAAAAAAGTATTAAAATATACATTTTTGAAAGTCATCATAGTTGACATCACTTTGCATTGTGGGATATTGTAATGTAGACAGTGTTTTTACTAATGTATTTCACACATACAGAAAATTCACATACTATACATAACATACAAATTTCATACACGCATACTAGTATCCCATCTAATAGGGAATGCTCCAAGAACTCTGCCTGGTAAGGTTCTATCAAAGTTATGAGCAAACGTTCTTACGGTAACGTTAATAGAACGTAAGTTCAATGTCATATGTCCTTTAATAATGTTCACAAAACATCAGCACAAAAAAATTGCATAACATTTTTAAAACATTTTAAGAAATGGATGTTTTTGTAACTTAATGGAAATGGAAGAAAAATTTTCAAATAACGTTTTTAAAACGTTCAGTTTTTTAAAAAAATGTTCAGAGAGCATTCAGAAATGTTTTCATAACTTAATGGAAACATTAACCAAACGCTCAAATAACATTTTAAAACATTCAATACATTGTTATTTTTGTTTAAATTTTCAGAGAACAATCAGAAAAATTTTCATAACTTAATGGAAACATCAGCAAAATGTTCAAATAGCTTTAAAACATTCAAAACGTTCATTCTTTTTAAATGTTCAGAAAGTTTGTGTAACTAATGAAAACGTTAGCAATACATTCAAATAATGTTTTTAAAACATTCGAAACTTGATATTATTATTAATGTTTATAATTTAATGGAAACGCAGGCAAAATGTTTGAATAACATATTTGAAACATTCAAAATGTTTCGTTTTTTAAATGTTCAGAGAACATTCAGAAATAATGTTTTCATAACTTAACACAAGAAAAACATCATGTATTTTTGTTAGTGTTGCGTGTCCTGTTACCTGGCATCCTTCAGCAGTTGTGTTCTTCTTGTAATCAGCAGAGCAGGTGTCAGTATTGGTGCTCAGGTTCGTGCTGGTGTTTGAGTTATCGACGAGCTCCTGCTCCAGTGAAACGATCAGTGTCTGCAGCGCCAGCTCTGCTAGAACCCCGCGCTGGTCAGAGAACATCAGGTGATTGTACGGGATGCCGTACCCGACAGGATCATACGCACATACCACGTTAAGAAGAGAGGTGAAGAGCGGCAGGGCATGTCTGACAGAGAGAGAGCAAACTTTAATTGCTGCATCACCAACAAATGATAACAAATGAGCTTTCCTGTTTCACCTGTTTTCTCTAGAGCAAAAGAAGGAGACCCAGGGGTTGAGTGTGTGCATGTCAGATGGAGACTGGTACATTTCTTCTGAGAAACATGTCAATAAAAGCTTCAACAACTCTGTCCTGAGAGAGAGAGAGAGAGAGAGAGAGAGAGAGAGATAAATACTTAATATTTGTAATCATCAAGGGGGATGCAATAAACGGATCAAAAATGAGAGCAAAGACATTTATAAAGATTTCCATTTCAGATTAATGCATAGCTTGTGAACTTTCTATTCATCAAAGAATCCGGGAAAAAAAAAGTATCATGGTTTCCACAAAAGTATGAAGCAGCACAACTGTTTTCAACATTGCATAATCAGAAATGTTTCTTGAGCAGCAAATCAGCATATTAGAATGATTTCTGAAGATCATGTGACACTGAAGACTGTGTAATGATGCTGAAAATTCAGCTTTGATCACAGGAATAAATTACATTCTAACATATATTCACATAGAACACAGCTATTTTAAATTGCAATAATATTTATTGCAATTATATTATATATCAAATAAATGCAACTTTGGTGAGCATAAAAGACTTCTTTCAAAAACATTAAAATAATCTGACCCCAAACTTTTGAACAGCAGAGTACTTCTCTAATATTCAAAAGTTCTCCAACTTTTAGAGCAGTGGATGATTGACAGGTGAGAAGGCGGTCCTTAACAGTTGTCGTGTACACATCAGGATGGATTAGATTTATAATAAAATGTAATGTGGTCACATGCAAACTACTACCAGCTGTATCTAGGTCAGAGTGTATAATAAGTACATATAAGTGATGTAAAGTGGGACAGGGCAGTATGAAGCGGGCGGATCTCTGACCTGTTAGAGTCATGGGTGTGACTGAGAGGCGGAGTCTGAGCAAATCCAACGCCAGCTTCCCAGATGAACTCACAGCTGTCCATGGACTGGATATCAGAGGGGCCATCCTGAACACACACATAACTTTTGTCTATAAATTAAACTATTTATTTTTTTCACATGTAGATGGACTGAAATGGCGTTCCTGCAAAGGATTTCTCAAACTAATGTTCGCAAACCCCTGGAAAATTGTGAAAAAGATCTTCTTTATGCACCAAGAGCTTGTAACACTCCAAAGAGAAAGGAACAATTGAAATCGCATCATATGACCCCTTTAAACATTAACTTCTCAGGGGTACTTCAAGTACATATTTAACATAAAAAAGATTAAAAGTTTGGAAATTACACAAGGAACAAACATATTGATAAAACCTTGGATAAAAGCAAATCTGCCAAATGCATAAAATGTAATTATCTAAACATTTTCTGCAGATTTCTTCATGTTGTCTGTGCAAACATTTGAAACTTCTGTGCCTTTGTTTGAATGAGCAACCATTTGGTTGAATGGCCGTTTCATCAAAACGTTTTCATCATTTTAAAACATGAACTATTGCTGGTCACTTCTATGTCATTCTGATGGTCTTTTTCTGTCTTGGCCAGAATAAGTAATATTGATCTGATTTTATTAGTCAAAACCTCTACCAGACTAGGAAGACTCAAGATAGAGAGAGGGTTACCGCACTGGTCCTGCTGTGGCTCTCGACAGTGAAGTCTGGACAGAAAAGCAGATCAGAAATAGCTGTGAGGAGAGACTCCGCCAACGGCCGCGTGCTCTCGTCATCGCCTTCATCCTACATCAACACACACACCAATTAAATCTGTCATTTTACAAAGAAATTATGTTTTTAATCACAAAAGCAGTAAATTCATGCATGAAATTTTTTTTTCAAGTAGTGCAAACTTCAAGACTTCAAGCTCGTCTGACGAGTGTTTGAGGAGCTATTGGCTTTCTGAAGAGTTTCATGCACACAATCACATCATCAATACACTCATTCTGCTCCCTTCAGCTCTCTAATCAGGATATTTAATACGCCGTCGATCTTTGAGACAGACACAATCAGAGCAGTGTTTAGGCTGGTAACAGGAGACCGTAAAAATGCACCGCAGAACAAACTCTCTCACACACACGCAGCTCATGTTTTAAACAAAAGTTCAAGCTAGGCAAAGCTTTGCTGTGTATCTTCTTAAAACCTGCTTGCACAGACAGCTCCTGTTCGTTGGTGACGTTCTGGGGGAGAGTGCAAACTGCATGTTTTACCTTAGTGCATATTCAACCATTTGGAGAGCCTAACCCTAACCCACTCTGAAAGCAATTTTGAAATTTCCCTCACCAAAGACTTGCCCACTTTTGGCACGGTGGACCAGAAGAATCCACGCCAGTCGGGATCCTCGAAGATATAGGGCAGAATCCGAGTCAACAGACGAATGCAGCTCAGCACGGCCTGTCTGTCTCTCTCACACACACAGCCCGAGTCGGCGTTCAACACAAGCCTTTCCACTGCCTGCAAAAAAACCACACAAACACTTTAAATGCGTCCAATGTTTTAAAGCTTAAGAAATGACTAGCACTTTAGACAAATCAATTGATTTAGTTACATTCCTTTGAACTTATTACTCAAGACTGCTCAAAAATAGTCAAATTTTTTGATTTTTTTTGAAAGATAACAACATCAAAACAACATAAATATTACTCTGGAATATTTGCAAACAAAATAAATTCATTTTATGTGCATAAACTTTCACTTTTAGATGAAAACGATTTTTCATGCTGCAGTGGTTGCTGCATCAATATTCATGCATATTCATGTTTAGCAACAAAATTCAGTCCCAAAAGTATGTGTGAGATATGGGAAAGAGCCTGCATATATTTTACAAATGTATTTGAAATAGATCTAACACATAGATAAAAAACAAAACAAAACAAAGCAAAACATGAGAATGTTATACTAATAATATGCATTTTTCAGACATTTTTATGCATCTCGGCTGTGTCAAAATAGGCCTAAATGCATGCATGTTCACATTAGAGTCATATTATTGGTCTACAAAACATTTTATGTTATATATCAGTGGTCCCCTCTCATAGCGGCCACCATGTTGAGATCACATAATCACTTTTTTCTCATTATTATGGGACACAGACTGCACCTTGTAACAGAGTGTTGCCAGATTGGACGGAGACTCCTCTCTCACAGCACGGATCTCAGCAGCAGGAACCAGAGCAAAAATATCCTGTGCTGTCAAGTTGATGTCAGTCCAGAACTGGTCCCAGAACACATCCTCAGAGGCCTCGACGGGCTGCAAAATCACACAAGGGTCCATTATTCAAAATTAAAAAAGCATAACCTTTCAGAATAAATGCACTGAGATGAGATAGTGACATCTTCGGTCCATAGACATCTTCCCCTGTATCTTCTTTTCATTACATTAAGTGCATCTTGTCACTTAATTCACACAATTTGTAAAACTGTAAAACATGTTAATGGCCCTAAATGCCTAATTTTCTAATAAAATACAACATATAATATTTTTCCTTTATTTATTATTTTTTACCGTTTTTTGTTACAGGAAAGGGTGTTGACACAATTATGGCGATTATGAAGAATTTCTGTATCTTCTTTTCATTACATTAAGTGCATCTTGTCACTTAATTCACACAATTTGTAAAACTGTAAAACATGTTAATGGCCCTAAATGCCTAATTTTCTAATAAAATACAACATATAATATTTTTCCTTTATTTATTATTTTTTTACCGTTTTTTGTTACAGGAAAGGGTGTTGACACAATTATGGCGATTATGATGAATTTTAATTTTTCACAACACGACGTTTTTACTGAGAATTAAAGCAGGTCAGCTTCAACTTAAATTAGCATCACCTGTAAAACTCAGTAAGAAACGAGAAAAGCAGACTGAACGTAATCAAAACATCATAATCATCACACAGCTGTCATAAAGTTTTTGATTATCTCTAGTTTTTTTTGCATAGATCTGAATGCTTTGACATTAAATCATTATTAAAAACCTAAAATTCAACATTAAAGGAAAGTTTAAATGCCCAAACGAGTGTATATTTGATCAAATATTCTAAGAAAAATACATCAGGCGACAGTATTCCATCTGGTACACTTTAACAGCGCTTTGTAACATTTTTAACCCTACACAAATGCTTATAAAAGGTACATATGTCAAATAAAACAAGCATGACCTGTGTTTTGGTAGTAAGTTGTATCACCGCTTTTCTGAAGTGTAGTTTGGAGTCTGAATTACCCATCTCACTCGATCTGTCCGCCGCGCACCTGTGGCGCAGCCGCGCAGGTGAACACGACGCAGAAAATAACCAATCCTACTACGGCAAAGGTTTAGCTCATGAATATTAATTACGCTGCACTGACGTTGACGTTAACCTGCCTGGCGCATCCAATCGCGTATGGCATTAATATTTGAGATTCGTTGATTCGCCGGCTGCCTTGGCGCCCATTTCAACCGTTAGCCAATCAGTTTGGCCGCCTGAGCGATCTTCCCGTTAAATCATGAATATACATGAGTCAAGACTAAACCATAGTAGGTATCGTTTGTTCGTGACCAGGATGCAAGCATGGCATTTTTCCGGGTGTGTGAAGTACATATTTGATCAAAGATTACTCTTTAAAAGTCGAGTACCTTAAGCATACTGTGAAGGAATACTAAGCTGTTACTTTAAAGGCGCGACCAACATTGAATACAATGAACTGTGTCCTCAGAATAACACGCTGCACTGTCCATTCGTGTTTCCTTTAGGCCTGCTACTCTGCAATGTGACACTGGATACACACAGTAAACACGCAATTAATATTTTATCTCTCCCCACTGTAAGTAGGCCTATTCTCTCAAAAGTGTTTAACATGAAAAATCACATGCTGTAATTGTTGATATTTTTTTCTGCACCATTATTTAAATGCTGCGCACCAATAGCCTACATACAGCAAAATCTACAAAGTTGTTGTAATTTAGATAGTAGCCTACAGTTATTGGTTAGAAGAACTTAAATGTATATAGGCCTACTTTAATTGGAATTTAGCATTATTGGGAATGTAAATACTTTTGAATGTTGATTGAACCAATTGTGAGTTTGTGTTAGTTTGGCTTCATATGCAAGTCATTGCTTTTTTATGTACAGATATGTATATAAGAATGTTTAGATGTACAGATATTCCTTGTAGTTTCTCAGTATTTATGAGCTCACAAAAGCTGCTGGCATAATAATGATACAAGAATATTATTTATAACATTGCCTGGTTGCAAATTACAGATTTACATCATTCCACAAGTAGAAACATTAATTTTACGCTGCAGTTGGGTTTTAAGCTGAGATTCAGAAACATATGGCTAAGTTGTCAAACTGTTTTTGTTTTGATATTTTCAAAATGGCAAAAGAAGCACCATTAGATGACATTGTTTGGCAAATTATTACAAGCAAAATGTGTTTATATGCACATCATCTGAAAAAAACATTTACATGCTTTACTTGGAACAGTCTTGTTTACATGTAATTGGTATAATTTGAATAAACTCATGCATGCATGCTCATTTCACTCTATTCTCTTTAGTAATTGCTGTGATGTTCATTCTTACTGTTTATTTTCCTCCAAAAACAGCTTGCATCTAATATCACCCAGCATTTCCTGTGTTTGGACATTAAAACCAAGAAAGAAAAACTCATGTGATTACTGTAACATGTTATACCCAAAGACGAGCCAAAAAAAAGCAGTCAGTATATTAAATCCAAGAGGCATCTTCAGATGCTTTCGTGTCATTTGCAGTGATAAGTGGTAATTGTCTATGTTGCTGCATTGTTGATTTTAAAGACCCGGTCTATGTTTTGAAAATGATAATACTCTTCTTTTTCTACAATATTAATACTTTAAAAAGTATGCAATTTTTTTGTATGCATACAAATACCTGGATGACCTACTGACCTTAAAACATTGCAAAAATATAATTTACATAACATTATTACTTTTTTTTTTTTTAATATTAGCATTACTTTTCTTCCACAGACAAAGTTTGCCCTGTCAGTTGTGTGTCTGATTTCCTCATGTTTGGATTTGAAATGAAAAAATGGAGAGGTATGTGTATTTTTTTAATATTGTGCCATGAACATGGTTGAATTGTCTTTGTTTGTTTGACTACCGAATGATTCACCAATGACAACTCTGGTCTTCAAAGAAACGGTTGCTCACAAGCCTCCGCTCAAAAACTAGTCAGTTCCCTGTTAAACAGGCTATTAAATATTGTCTTGCTCCAATTTTAGTTCACCCAAAAGTGAAAATTACCTCATGATTTACTCGCCCTCAAGCCATCCTAGATGTACTTTCAGATGAATACAATCAGAGTTATATAAAAAAATGTACTGGCTCTTCCAAGCTTCATAACGGCAGTGCATGGATGTTGATGTTCAGTAGTCAAATAAAAGAAGTCCAAAGTTCATTTTGGGTGAACTATATGTTTAAGCTAGAAGTTGTTGTGTTGGACTCCTCAAACTTCTTACACCTTTTTTTAGAAAACGCAATCTATGAATGGCTGACTTAACTTTGTTAAATGTGCTGAAATATCTCATAAGGAATTATTAATTAACAGTGTCTGCATCGTTTTGGCAGGAAGAACTCGACACCAGTTTTTTTTTTTTTTTTAAAGACTGAGGACTCATCATTTGATTGACAGATTTTTCAAGATAAATTGAGTTTATATTCGCAGTGCAACCTATAAAATACTAATTAAGTTTCCCGTACTGTATGTGTATTGATAATGTTACCTTATCTTACTGATTCATCGGTTCTTTTGCAGAACAGAAGATTGTTTTATCTTTTAATGCATTAATACATTTAAATTTCAGAAATTAAATTAATGGATTAATTAATTGGATTATGTTAAGATATTTTTATTCAACCCACTGAGTAATAATGCTTCACAAAGTAATAGTAGTAATGATAAGCAATATTTTACCCAGCAATTTAAAGATACTAGCATTAAAACTATAGTTTTTTTTTATAAGCGTTACTTTAAAATCTTTTACAAAGTGTGAGTATAATTTCCTTTAAACAGTAAATTTAGTAATTAAAGCCACCAAGAATTGTGTGTAGCCTTTACTTTTACAATTTACAGGCCATTTTGGAGTGAAATTTATTTCCTCATTTGTTTTTTTTCCCAAGTAAATCCTACTCGAATTTTTTCCCAGTGCATGTAGTTTTCTGCAAAATACATTTGATAGCTCTACAATATAAATTATTATAAGCTTGGCAAAGTGAAGGGTAAAGCAAAGACATGGTTACAAGATGGATTTATGACATGTTCGCTTGATATAAAAAATGTGTTACTTTCAAACAAACAAAAATATTTACATAGTGTAGCTTTAAATTTATTGTTGAAACAAATGCTTCAGTGCCAGTATGAAAGGTTGATAAAATACCTGTTTTGGTTGCCCTCTGCTGGACAATTTGTGCACTCAAAAAAACAAAACAACATACTGGGCTGTTCTGTTAATGAATGTGGCTCTGATGCCACACTGGTTGTGGGTTTCTAATTATTTCATAGAATGTTGTGTGGCCTTTGTTTATTGATTGAGCACCAAAATAAATGATTAAAAAATCTGCTAATTTACTTGAGTTGCTATGTACTACATTAATCTTATTTTACTTTAGAAGTAATTCTACAATAACAAAGATTTTAACTGTCTTTTGAATTGATGATATTAAACTGATTTGTGTAATTGGATCAATCAGGATGGAAAGTGACACAAACTAGAGGTTAGTTTTAGACAGAAAAAAACAAACATTTAAATTCATGTTTAAACAGTATATCAGAAAAAATCTTGTTTAGCTTTAACCATTTTAATTAGAGAATTAGAGAAAAAAAAATGAAGAAACACCTGGAATGTTTCTGAATAGATTGCACTTTTTCATCTTATTAGTTAAGCGCCATCCTTAAAAATGTGTGTAATATTTTATATAGTAGATCAAAGCATATGAAATGAACGTAATGCATTAAGAATTACCAAAAAGGTTATTAATTTTGATGACTAAACAAGGTAGCTTCATAGTCTTTCTTTTGTAATCAATTATTGCTTTTAGTAATAGTAAGAAAGAGACTTACTGGTAATTTAGCTTGTTTTCCCTAAAGTTGGTACTGTAAAATGCACGAGAAGTGTGATTCTATTTTCAATTCTTAACAATTTGAAGAATGTTGCTGCAGTGTTTGAATAGTTCTTTCTTATGAGGTAAGATGTGGTGAGGTCCAGTCATTCATCAAATAACCAAAATCTTCCCGTCCTTTTTATGGGCATTTTAACTATTGCATTATTTATATCTTGTTGTTGGGAATCTTACTGATCCAGATTGACAGGAACATGATCTGATTCTAGGTCAACATACATTAACTATTGTTTTCACTGTAATATCAGAGCAGGCAGTACACAACAGAGCTGCACAATGAAGTCAAACAATTAAATGGCAAGCATCGATACAATCTCTCACAAAATAAAAAGAAACGTGACACTTCTTCAGGGTATTGTTTAGAGAATACTCCTGGTTCCCGTAATGATCCACCCACCGTTATTAATAAAGGCACTGATAAGATCACGAGAGCTGCAGTTCATCATCACTGTATTCAGCTGCTGAAGAGAGAATCTCTCTGAGTTTGATCTGCAGCAGCATTTGACCTCAGGTAAAGTTATTTCTCTTAATTTCATCACATTGGGCTCCAATTGCTTTTTTATTCATATGCGTTTGATGCACCTAAACAGGCATGAATATGATGTTTTAGCGAATTGTTTTGATTATAATGGCTTGGTTTTGCGTAGTGCACAACAAACTTCAGTATTTTAGGAAGCAAATATGATAAATTACTGCCAGGTCATATATGTCTAACGCTAGGTAAAAATAAATTATGAATGCTTTTATGCCTTTTGCATGTGTATCATCATTTTGGTAATGGTGTTACAGATCGGTTTGTCACAATGAGGTTTCTGATCTCACTGTTTGTGTTGCTGCTGCTGGTTAATGGTGAGTGTTTTGCATGTCATGTATAACTCTGGTCAAATATGTCTCATATTAGAATGACACTTTTAAATGTGTACTAACAAGAGGCTCTAAAATTAAGTTGTGCTTGAATTTTGATTAACAGGTGAAATAATCAATGGTGCAATCATCATTCCACATACAGGTACAATCATTTTTCAATTTATAGTCGACTTTATAATGAATTACAGTCGTTCACTTTATTCCTGTTTAATCCCATATTTTCCATTTACTAATGTAAAAATTGTTGCTTCAGTGAAGCTTGTTGTTTTTCCGTTTTTTATTTATTATTATTATTATTTTATTTTTAAAAAAATCAGTTGTCTGTGCCATTCAATCCAGTCTGTGTTGTATTTTGTCCCCTAAATAAGAACAACAAAATGCACATCTATTCACAGATTTATGACTTTTATAGAGCCTTGAATCAAAGCAACAATTAAGCACTTTTGTAAAAGAAAATGTAGCATTTGGGTTAGATGGTTTCCCGCATGTGTGATACCTGAACTCTGGAGGAGAGTCAGATGAAGAGTTATATTCCATAATGTTGCTTAACATTTAACTTAGTATTGTTACACATTGCTTTTAAAAGTAACATTTCCCAAGCTTATAAACAAAATTGTTTACTGTGTAATGTCATTTTGAAAGTTTAAACGCATAGAGATGTAGAGATATACTAGATGCAGTTTGCCTGAACCACCTACAATTTCCTTTCTTTATTACGTTCTGTTGGTTTCTCTTAGTTTATTTGTCCTCTGATGCCATTGATGCTTAACAAGAGGTAGATAACGAGAGAATTTGTTTATGTGATTGTCTTCACTCTATTCTAATAGAACTTACAAATTCCAGCTCTGATCCATGCTATAATTATAACACTCTCGATGACTATTGGAGAGACATACGGCAATATCAGGACACTGGATATGATGACACCCGTGTTGAATGGAGTGGCTGGTATCGGCTGTATTTGAATGGAGAAAGTACCCAGATGTCTGAGTGGTGTGTGAGTTATGTGAGATGTGGTGGTGAAACTGGACTGTATCTCAACGGCTCTCACCCAACTCTTGAGGATGGAGTGGTGACCCGTGAAGTTGTGGGAATGAATGGGTTCCAGTGTGGCTTCAACACATCCACATCCATCCAAGTCAAAGCCTGTCCAGGAGACTATTACGTCTATAAACTTGTCAAGCCAGATCTGTCGATCCACAGACCAACATACTGTGCAGGTGCAGTTCTAGGATCTGTTTAGTCAAGTCAAGGCAACCTGGTCTCATGGCAAAAACGTACTCGGGGGCACATTTTCGCGAGACGCGAAATACGTACCAATAAGTACATATCACTGCAGTTTCCAAAAGAAATGAACACTAGAGGCAGTAAAACTCCGACACCTTTTATTCCTTTTCACACACATTTACAGAGTTTCGATTAATAAAGCGTAATTTTCGCACAATTACTTGAAGAATATCATGTTATGACTTCAAAACAATTTTAATATGCTGGGAGATTTGAAAACTGATGCTTTTGAACGTTAGCACCGCACATATCCAGCTTCATATCAATGGGTTTTCATCAACGGTAGGTTTATTCGGTAGCTGACGGAGTACGGAGACGTACTTGAGAGGCAAGGAGCTCCGGTTCGAATCCCGTGTAATACGGTTCGACAAAACGGTTCAAATCTGCATATAAGGAAGTTCAAATGACACGGTTGCATCAACAAATGTGTTTTTATATTAGTTTTGCATTTGTTAACACTATCGGGTAGGTTTAGGGTTGGGTTCACGTATTGAACCCGTGTTTTAGCGCCACTCAGTGGACATTTCTCTTTGAAACTGTGGCGAAACGTGCATTAAGGTACGTAAAAACGGTGCTGCAGAAATGTACCCAGAGGTACGTATTTTTATGAGACTGGGTTGAAAAAATTACATTATGTTGAGTGAGAAGTTCTTATGTTGGGCTCCTCAAACAAACAAAAGCAGTGAATGTTCTGTAAGAACATTTCAACCTGAATGAGTTCTTTTTGGCCCTTAAATGTGACTTAATTTTGGTCGGAAAAAGTGTTTAATTTAACTTTAATTCAACTGTAATTACATCATATGTGTTTGTTGTTATCAATTACACAAAAGGTGTTTGAAGGCATTTCACAACAAACCATCATTATTTTTTTTTAAATAGCCTTAGTCTTTTACTAAATATATATACTGGTCCATGACAGTGTCTTTCCAAAGCATCAGCAGTAATCCCTGCTACAACTATCAGTATCTGGACCGTCCCTGGAGAGCCACCAATGAAAGTGGAGAGAAGATTTGTGATGAATCTTTCTCCTGGAATGGCTGGTACCGGCTTTTCTACTATGGAATGAACATCCAGATGTCAGAGACCTGTATTAGTTCATTCAGCTGTAACGCATACTATAATCTGTGGCTCAATGGTCCTCATCCTCAGATAGAGGATGGAGTGGTGACTAGAGAGGTCTGTGTAGGGTCTTATTGGGGCAGCTGCTGTGAATACAAGTCAAAACCCATCAGAGTGAAAGCGTGTCCAGGCAATTACTATGTCTATGAACTTGTGAATCCACAATTCTGGTGTTCAGGATACTGCACAGGTATAGTGCTTTTCCCACTTTTAAAAAAGTCTTACACAATTTTAAGATGATTTCAGTCATGTCTTAATTTCCTTTTTTTTAAGACGTCAACAACATTTCACAGGTGGTTTCCAATGTAAGTTCAGATAATATCACTGGATCCAGCATCACCTTAAGTAAGCTGTAATAGAAGTATATGAATGAATATGAGGGTTATTAAAGGTAATCACAATCCAAAGAAATGGCTATTTTTATGCATGCACTTTCATCATTGCTTTTAGAATCTCAATCTCACGATTGTTGCTGTGTATGACCGTTTCAGATTTGCTCTTGTGAAGTTCTTTATTGAAATATTACTGGTTTGTTTTGATATCACTAACACAGATTATGACCCGTGCAATAACTACAACACAGTCAACAACCACTGGAGAAGCACATTCAATTACTGGTATTTGCATGGCTATATAAATGGACTTGATGACACTCGTGTAGAATGGGATGGCTGGTATCGACTCTTCATTAATGGATCAAGTGCTCAGATGCCTGAGTGGTGTATATCCTTCATGTCATGTGGAGGTTTTAGTTCTCTGTGGCTTGGTGGTTCTCATCCTCGTCTAGAAGATGGAGTTGTTACTCGTGAAATTTACGGCTCTCGACATGATCAGTGCAGTTACTACAGATCTGAACCAATCCAAGTCAAAGCTTGCCCTGGAAATTATTATGTCTACAAATTTACCAGACCAACAGTCTCAATACCAGCTCCAGTATATTGTGCAGGTACATTCATTTATTTTTATATCTGACATACTTATCTTGAGGTTTTCATATTAAGTCCATTTAGTCTGCAATATGTAATGCTCTCTCTCTTCTTTTTCGTAATAGTATTATTCACCACCCCAAGCGTTGATCCCTGCTACAACTACACCAGTCTGGATGAGCCTTGGAGAGCCACAAATAACCCTTACGATAGTAACTATTACTCCTATGGCATGTGTGATTTAAAAAACGTACTTACAGGCTGTGAGTCAGAAGCGCCAGACTGTCCTTGCAAAGTTGGCCCACTTTATAGAACAGACACCGGCATTGTAGGCTACTCTCTCAGGAAACCTCTTTTGGAAGACCAAACAAAGTAGTTTCGCGAAACACACAGCCCTAACCCTAAAACACACAGCGTCTCCTTAACTTTTATAAAGAATATCTCTTTGGATTTGATACTTTAGTCTTTGCAACTTTACAAATCTTCTTTATGCACCAAGAGCTTGTAACAGTCCAAAGAGAAAGGAAAAATTGAAATCGCATGACCCTTTTAATAAACCCATACAATTTGGTCATTAACTAAAATGAGTGCCATTAACAGGAATGTTTTTGTTTTATTTATTTTTTTAAATCAGATATTGGAGGCCTTAATGAGACATCAACCACCGGTAAAGTACCAGTATACAGTACAATTTATGACACAAGGACATACTAAATTAATAAAAGAGTAGTAAGAATCATATTAGACACATTGACAGATGTGTTTGCCATTTATTTATACACATGAGCTGACATTATTCTGTGACTCTGTGATTGACCCCATTTATATATAATACAGAACAGTTTTAGTTTATGCCCCTATTATTATTTTTATTTTTTTTGAATTTCATTTCATTCATTCATTGGTTCTTACTTTCAGACCCCTGTGCTGAACTCAACTGCACAGAGGATGAATGGTGTGGAGAGAAAAACAGCGTCTATGGCTGTTTGTGTAGCAAGAACCAGACCAGACCAGATTCTTTAGGTGAAACTCCTTCTACAATAATAATAAAATAATAATAATATAGGATTTTCTGCATTTATTTAGTTATTATCATTAATAATTCTGACAATGTTTTGGATGTTTTCTTTTCCAGATTTCTCAGAAACCTGTGAAAGCAGCTCTGGCTCCATGTCTGTGTCTCGCTGTCAGCTCTTTGAGGCTGGTTTTCCAGCTGACATCTTACACCTCAATGATCCCAGCTGCAAAGGAACGGTCCGGAATGGCAGAGTGGAATTCCATTTTGATAACGATGAACACATCTGTGGTACAAATCTTGTGGTAGGACTAACTATTCAATCTATTGAAATACACCATCCAAACATTTGTAATGCCTGATAGAACCAGCAGAGTTTGATTTAACCACATGGGGAATCTCTTTGAGACTTTGTCTATAGGGAGGATTGTTTGGACCCATCGTTTTGTTACAGATTGATTCTTTGGAGAGCCTAAACAGAGCATCCTAGAAACTACTTAAAGTCTCAAACAGATTCAGTGGGGAAGGGTGCACAAGACTTTGTGTAACGGAGGCCAGCTGGTAAGAGCTGTGTGGGTAAACCTCACTCCCCTGAGCTCAAGAGGCTGCAGCCTTTAGCATCCTTCTTAAAACGCCTACCTCCCGTGCCGGAAACACTGGTTCAAATTCCGCTCGGAGCGAGTGAGGGGAGTAGAACCGGAGGGGTTATACTACCCACAAAAAAGACTGGGACTTGTGCCCGCATTCTCCACCATTAATATTTAACCCACCAGTTTTTCACTTGACTGCTATTTTTTCTCAATTTGAGCTAAATTGCAAAAATATGTATACATTTTTATCCACAGGCCAACAGCACCCACTTTGTCTACAGTAACTTTATTCTGGGGACACCGAGGTCAGAAGGTCTCATCAGCAGAGAGAAAATCCTTAAGCTTTCTTTCAGCTGTGTTTATCCTCAAACACAAACACTTTCCATGAATGTGGAAATCAACCCACTGGGGAGGTTGGAATCTTTTAAGCAACAGTAGTTAAGCAGTATAAAAATGAGCAGTATGAAAATGATACATCTTGAACATTTCAACAGCATTGTGCACAAGACGCTCCCCGCTGGTGAAGGCAGATATCATGTTCGGATGATTCCATATGAGGATGATGAGTTTACCCGGCCCTTCACTGGTAAAGTGGATGCAGAGCTCGAACCAGAAGATGAATGTGGAAGTTCGTGTTGAGGGGGTTGACAGCCGCCAGTTTGCCTCAGTTATGGAGACGTGTTGGGCTACACCTGTGAATGATCCTGATTACAGTCTCCGCTGGGATCTCATCGTTACAGAGTAAAGCTGTGCTTCTTGCTTTACTCACTGTAACATTTTGAAAAGCATTTTGATTTGCACACAGATTAAATAATTCAATGTATATCACTGTTAGGATTGCATGAGATTTTACTTTGTCTTTGAGAACTAATGCAAAAATAAAATATTTTGGTACATGCAATGCAAATATGTGATGAACAGGAAATAATTTTTGTATTGAATGATTCAAAAAAAAAAAAAAAAAATTCATAAGTGCTATTCTCAGGTGTCCCAATCCAAATGACTACACAGTGGAGCTGCTGCAGAACGGCGTCTTGACATCCAGTCGTTTCTCCTTCAGGATGTTCATCTTCACTGCAAACTCCACTAAGCTTTACCTGCACTGTGCTGTGCCCTTCACTGGTAAAGTGGATGCAGAGCTCGACCAGAAGATGAATGTGGAAGTTCGTGTTGAGGGGGTTGACAGCCGCCAGTTTGCCCTGGTGATGGACACGTGTTGGGCTACACCTGTGAACGATCCTGATTACAGTCTCCGCTGGGATCTCATCGTCACAGAGTAAAGCTGTTTCTAATCCTTAAAGCACAGATTCCATTTTTTTCCACATTAAATGAAAATGTGATGATTTACAATAAATCACTTTAGGGTTGAATGTCTCTATTGAAATCAAAATTTTATTTGTTGATTGTCATTATTGCTATTCTCAGGTGTCCCAATCCAAATGACCACACAGTGGAGCTGCTGCAGAACGGCATCTCGACATCCAGCCGTTTCTCCTTCAGGATGTTCATCTTCACTGCAAACTCCACTAAGCTTTACCTGCACTGTGCTGTTCACCTTTGTCTTCTGTCGAGCAATCGCTGCTCAATGGTGAGATTATAATATCTCTTTTATACAACAGTAATGGTTTAGAAAGTAGCTTTAGTACTGTAGTTGTGAAATTATTTTTCAGTGTGTTGAATAACAATGTAGTAAAATGTGATGGGTAAATGTGAAGGTTTACGAATCTGCTAAAATCTTGTTAATAAGGTTGGTGTTAATGTTTAATGTTCAAGGCTGCTAAAAGACTTGTTTTGGCTAAGCTGTTCTGAAGAATTTGTGCACTCCTTTCTTTCTCGTTTGTTCAGTGATATTTATCAGGGATTCACACTGCAGGATTTTCACTTTTCTCTTTTAGGACTGTAACTCTGGACACCAGCGGAGAGAGGGCAGGTCTCTGGACTTCCATGACAGTGCTTCCATATCCATGGGTCCTCTGATGTTGTCTAAAGGCAATACAGGTGAACATTTTATTTATTTTAGTCACTAATGAAAGGTTTATAATGATTTCTGCTGTGAATACATTACATTTCATTGCATTATATTCCCTGTTCACATATAAGTGGATGCCAGAGCAAATGAAGGTATCTGAGGCTTCTTGTCTGTGTGCTTCTCTGATGCTTTTATTTATTCCTCTGATGAGTGTCCTGACCCTCTTTTAGTATATTTTCACACATTTTACATGCATATTGTCCTGTTCCATTTTAATGAATGTGGTTCTGATGCCACACTGGTTGCGGGTTTCTTCATATTTCCTAAAGTAATAGCTGTTATGTTGCATTTGTTTGTTTATTTACGAGCACCAAAAATAAATGATTCAACGAATTGATCATTTGCAGTAGCAAAGACAATCAGATTCATGTTTATTTAAATCATGCAAAATGATTAAAAGTGTCATTCCTGTTCTTCAATTCCTTTCAGTTCTGTAACTTGTTTAAAAAACGAATCCAGGAAGTATTTCATCAGACCATCTTTAATCTTTTGAATCAGTGATTATATCCAACTGATTTGCATAATTGATTTGTCACTCTAAAACTTCCCTTCTTGTTAGACGCACATGCTACATTTAGACAGGGAAAATTACATTGAAATTAATGTTCAGTTTAAACAATATTCCTAAGAAAATGTGTTCGGCTTTAAACATTTCAGTTGGAGACTTAAAAGAATATTTCTGAATTGATTGTACATTTTTCATTGTATAAGTGCATCACCGTCTTAATATTTTATCCAGTATAAGAAGGCACATGATAAATAACTCCTTTTAATGATTAAGCAAGGTTTCATAGTCCGCCTTTTGTAATCAATTACTTTCAGGAATAGTAAAAAACATAAGTATTAGTGATTATTGTGATTGTTTTGCTTGTTTTCCAAAGGTTGTGTAATATGCATGAGAAATCTGATTTCTGTTTTTAATTCTAAAGGATCTGAAGAATGTTGCCACATTGTTTGCATCATTCTTTCTGATGGGGTTGAGGTTTAGTCGTTCCTCAAATAACCAAAGTTCTTCTTGTTTTGTTCAAATTTTATGCTGATGTTTGCTGGGTAATGTATACATTGAATGTAAATATGTTCCTTCCAAATTTCTGATCAATTTTAGAGTGTGAGCTTTTGTAGTTTAAATATATTTATTGAAAAACAGGTGAACATTTATGTAATTGCTAGTGATTATGCTACCAGTGGTCCCTAACTGGTTAAACTTGATGTGAGAGACATTTTGACCTGTTATATTATGGTGTAGTTATATTCAATCGCTATAACAAGTTGTTGAGCAAGGAGGTCATGATAATATGATACAATAGTTAATTTGCAATATACAGTGCATGCATAATTATTATTAGTCAATATTCTGATCATTTTTTCCAAGCACATTTTACCAATTCCAAACCACATTAATCTTAATAAAATTACTCTTAAGATTGTATATAATCATAGGCGATATGTGATTGAGGGCTGAATATGCCTTATATTCAGATATGCATAAATATTAGGCAGTTTGATCTCGGAGAACCTGACTCTCTGGAGACTCCAGGGAGGCTGCAGTTGTGGAAAAGGGTGGCACTGGAGACTAAAGGCTTCCTGGTGGTTTTAAACTTAATTCTTTGCATTATTTCTTGAATTGTTTTGCAGTTCATATGCATCTTTTCTTCTCAACCTGTTTTTTGCAACTCTGCTGACTGTTATTAACAAAGCATTTTATTGGCCAACAATGGCCATGTCTTTATTTGGAAAATTTCAATGTGTTGCATAATATCAGAGCAGGCAGTACACAACAGAGCTGCACAATAAAATCAAATGATTAAATGGCAAGCATCAATACAATCTCTCTCAATATAAAAATAAATGAAATGCTTCAAGATATTGTTTAGAGATTACTGTAACACTTTACATTAAGGTTCCCTTTATAAAGGATTTATAAAGGTATTCATAAATGACTAATAACTTATTTACAAATGCATTATAAATCATTGATAAGCAGTTATAAATGCATGAATAAAAAGGATGATTTTAATGCAATACCTGCTAAATAGTGAGCCATTTTTAACTCCTGTTATAAATGTTTAATAAATATATTCAGACTTTTTTAAGCAAAACCAGATTCCTGAATTATTTTATGATTCAGCAAAAATAAGCTATTATAGTGAGACTGAAGGGTGTTGTATTTATGTTTTTCTCATTTGTATCTCATGACTTTTCTTAGATGTTTCTTAACAGAATCTCCTCTGTACCTCACCTAGGATTCTCCGCAAAAGTTCATGATGCCTATCCACAGCAATGATTAGAAACTGATATATTTTGTTTACCAAGATAACATTTTTAAACTTTATTTTGGGGCGAAAATCATAAAAGCACAACCACAAGTTAATAAGATATTAATAATGAAAATTTTAATTCCAATATTAGTTAACTGTGAACTTTAATGTAAAGAACAATTTATTAATGAGTTATAAACCTCAATAACCTGTGAAAGTGCACCTTAATGTAAAGTGAACACCTGTGAACCATTTGCGAACATTATAAACGTTAACAACATCTAAACATGAAACGTAATCAGGGCTTGACGCTTACCTTTTCCCAAGGAGCACATGTGCTCCCAAGTTGAAAAATTTAGGAGCGCATTAAAATAATTTAGGGTCGCAGTGCAAATTTGTCAAATTACTGTATGTGTTTTAGCTTAATAAGGGGATATAAGGAGACATTTATCAGAATACAGAAAGTACATAAAGTTTTTTAATAATTTTGCTTCAGACTCTATTTAATAGGCTAATTATGTAATTATTTATAGTCCTATTAAATTGTATGTACATTAGGCATGTGACCGTATAAAATGTTCACAATAGTCCTTGAAGCTTTTGTCACAGTATATGGTTTTATCACAATATATAATTTAGTAAGTAAAAAAAAAAGTGTTGCCCTCCTAACAGGACTTTATTAAACATAACTCCCAACATAACTTTATTAAAGATCTTTTACTAAAGAAAGACTTTATATAAAAATATAAAGTAAACAAGTGTTTCAAGATTAGAGTGCAAAAGATTAAAGTTCAAATGAACGAAAGAACAATAGGTAACACTTTACAATAAGGTCCCATTAGTTAAAGCAGGTTAACATTAACTAACAATGTGCAGTAGCTAATTGTTGCAGCAGTTAATATTCTTTGTTAATGTTGATTAATGAAAATACAACTATTTATTGTTAGTTAATGTTCGCGCCATTGAATAATATTAGCAGATACAACTTTTGATTTTATAATGTATTATTAAAAGTTTACATTAACATGAACTAAGATGAATAAATGCAGTCATTATTATTTAATGTTAACTAATGTAGCTAAGTAATGTTAATGGATCCGGTTAGGTGTTACCTAACAATAATAACGAATCAGTCAATATATAGATAATGTTACAGTCTATCAAAAGGAAGGCAAAGAATACGAGGATAATCCACAATGAAAATCTTTAATATTATAATTCACAAAAACTCAGGCAAGAAAACAGCTCAGGGTCGTAACGTCAAACAATCACCGACAAACTACAGAACAGAAGGAAGACTTTAAGCAGGGCAGCTGACGAGGGGAAAACAGGTGAAGGGAGTTAACTAATAATGACTAACGAGCAAATTAATCAAAAACAATGGAAACTAATAGACAAGGGGACTCAGGGACATGTGGAAGCAGAAACAGAACCAAAACAGAACATAACCATGACAGATAGGCCATGTTTTAGGTTAGATAAAAAAAAAAAAGTTTGAAAATAAATAGCTTATTAAGTTTTTAAGTATTAATTATTTGGTGCTATGGTGAAGAGTAAAGTGAATATAAATATCTAAATGACAGTTTGAAACAATAGCCCCTTTCACACACAGGCACCTTTTTAAAATCACCAGTAAATTCTTTCCGGCAATTTACTGGTATGAGAAGTTGTAACATTACCAGTAAATTGCCGGAATTCTGCTCTGTGTGAACGCAGAACGAAAATTACCGGTATGAGCACGTACAAGTTCAGAACGTGCTGACGTAAGACGTCTACTCTGGGCCAATCCAGAGCCATTGAAATTCAAAATTCAACGGCTCTGGTCAATCATAACATTCTGATGCAGATGACACATTTACTCCACGCTGTGTAGTTCGGTTTGAAGTCGTCATTGGCCATCGATGTCTCTGGGCCAAAAGAAGCTGCATGAATGTGAACGCTTGACACAAAACTGAAAACATCAGCAAAAAGACTGACCCCTCCATGTTTACAAATATAACACCGGTAGGCGCAGCCGTTTAGAGGTCATTTCCATTTAATGATATCACAGAATTTACCGGTATTTTGAAACCGATGTTAGAATGGTGTTTTTCTGGAAAAAAGACGGAACGCTGTTGCCTGTGTGAACAGTGCATTTTTTAATTTACCGGTAAAGTCGTTCCCGTAATTTGACTACAATTTACTGGAATTACTGTGTGAAAGGGGCTATTAGCTATGTTTCCATCCAAAGATTCGAATTAAACTTATGCGCAAAACTGGAATATCACATAAAACATATGCGAATAAAGCACCGTTTCCATCTAATGAGTCAAAGAGAACAAAATCGTCACTTCCTGGTAAACTGTGGCACTAAATATCACTAAGAATTTAGGAGAAGCCACTGAATATAATAATTTTCATATATGATATATATTACTTGCACCTCAGTGCGAGCAGACGAAACACAATAAATGCTCTCAATGCTTTCGGAGGTGGATGCTGCTGTTTGGGAACGCAGTCGTGTAACAATTATACAGAAATACTTAGACGACAGACTTTGCTCAGGCATTTCAGAATGACTATAACAACATATAGATGCTGTGAACGAGATCGGAACGCTGCTAGTCAAGTTATTCAGTCTCATAGCGCAAAGTCACATGACTTTTTCGATGCGCATGAAGGAATTTTTTCGGTAAATGTGTTTCCATCGTAGTTTATGTGCATTTTTTCTTATCGGATAAAAAGTTTATCCTACTCAAATGTACGCATAAGTTTTTATGCGCATTTTTAGAATTTATGCGCATCTTGGCGCTTCCATCCAGCTTTTTTTAATGCGATATTCCAAAATGCGCATAAAAATAGGTGGATGGAAACGCAGCTATTGACACAGTTCAGAAAGTAGCGCAGCTGCTCTGTTTACATGGTTACCGGGATAACGGCTGCATTTCTGCCTCCGTCAGCACCTCTAGTGCCGAATGTGCATTTTCATTCAGCGCGTCTCCTTCAATCGCTCCGCCTTTCTTCTCATCAGTGCTAATTTAAAGTAAATCGTTGCCTTTTTAAAGTTCAATAATCATATGAGGCTGTATCGCTGCTTTTCCATAAATAAATTTAAGAAATTAATAAGTTTGCTATAGGCTACTAAATACATTTTCCAGTTCGTAGACATCTATTTAATGTTGCAAATGCGAGTGAAATGCTCGCACTGTCGAGCCCTGTTAATGTAAAGTGAAAACCTGTGAACCATTTATTAATGAGTTACAAACATTAATAACCTGTGAAAGTGCGCCGGAGCATGGAACGGCTACTATTTTGTGCTACTGTCATCATTACGGCCGCAAACATCTTCTGTTACTACAGTACACTTTTCAAATAATTTAATTAAATCAAGTATATTTAGGTTTATAATGGGTCTGGTTCTCATATTGATGAACAGGAATTTTAGTTTGCGATTAAAGCTGCAAATATTCGTGCTTAGGCTCGGTTCAAGGCAACTGTACCTAGTGTGAGTACACCCTTAATGTAAAGCGAACACCTGTGAACCATTTATTAATGATTTATAAACGTTAGTAAACTGTCAAAATGAACCTTAATGTAAAGTGAACACATGTGAACCATTTTATTAACTAGTTTTTGAACATCAATAACCTGTGAAAGTAAACCTTAATCACACCAAAATGATGGACTTAAAGGCATCATAGAGGATTGAATCATAGAGGATTCAGTTTCACTGAAACGTGGTCTTCATCACATCTATTTTTTTGTTCTTATTTTGTGTTTTACTTCCTTATGTATTTATGTAACGGGTATGGAATGTATTATGTTCATTTCATATGTAGAATTACACAAAAATGTTCACAATGTATACCTGATATGCCTGTCTCTGTGTGTGCACCTTGCCCTTTACATTTCTGACAGCAGCGTTAATCTTAATTTCCTGTTTTTGCACCTCCTCTTCCCTTTCTGCACTGGAGAGGTGGGTTTCTAATGATCTCTGATTAATCTAATTTCACCTTTGCTTAAAAAAATCACTTTTATACTTAGTTTTTCTGTTTAAGTCATATTTGTGACATAATTTTACGTGTATATTTGATTATTTCTGTATTTTCACTGTTTAATCAGTTTTCTGTCCATCGATGCACTTGAAGCATGTGCTAAATGCATTGCACTTTTCATTTAACAGAAAAGACAAAGGGCAAATTCACACCGTCTTAAGACGGTTATCTTTTTATCAGGTATGCTGTTTGTGACTTGTTAAATTAATTGTATTGTTTAAAAGTTTTATCCCTTTTTCTCTGTCCTTTCGACACTCTCTGCATGGGAGAGAAAAGACAAAGGGCGAATTCACACCGTGTTAAGACTGTGTTATCTTTTATCAGTAAAAGAAGAGTCGAACCATCAGCTGATGTCCGTCTGGTTACTACATTGAAAAAAAAAACAAAAAAAAACGCAGATAACACCGGTTACATTTATTCATGTTCAATGTCAATTGTCATTCATTAATGTATTCAGCTAATAATTGTTGTTAAGAGCACTGACAATTTTGCGTGTCAATAAAACATACTTAATTCACGCAATATTCTGCTGTTGTTATTGTTTTAATGTAAAACTCTAACCGAGGCAACACTCTAAGATGCCTCATTACTGATTTTCTGGAGCTCAGCATCAGCCACCCCGAGTGATCCCATTGGCTCAACTAACTTTTAATAGGTATTTTTTTTAGCGCCTGATTACAATTCCTGCAAAATCGCGCTTTGATTTATGTCGTTTGAACTTCGTTACAATGACGTATAAATTAATAGACCTGTTTTAAAAAAAAAAACTTGTTAAAACATTTTCAATGAGGAGTAAGCTAATAGCCTAAACTTTAATTCTCCTCGCAGCATTTCATGCGGTGATGCGCTATGCCCCGCAATAATTTCATGTAATTTATTAATAAAAGTAACCTAATAATAATAATAATAGGCCTAATAATAAGAAGAATGTAACAGGCCTACATTAATTGG